ATTACAACGTCTTCTATTCCAATATTGATGTACGAAATGGATTCCTAATCGGACATCGATATGTGAGCACATTCTCATTGACAAGACACAAACAAATGTTTTTACAGCATTTTTAAAATTCGACCTTGAAGATAGATATACGACGAGCACATACGCACTTGATGCTAAAAACAACATTGCCAAAGCTGCTTTCATACAGACCCTTAATAATCTACATACCCCCCAGACATTACCAGGTTATTATATCAAGTGGCAGCAATCAAAGACCCTGTTCGACCAGACAGTCAATACTGTCCATCCCTAGGAGCATTCGATTCACCACCTACCATGCTAACGTCCTGCAACCGCAGACAAGACATAAATGATTTAATTAATAGTATAATGAATCAAATCATAAAGGCTGAAGTTGATATATAAATTCCTATTTATTTCATTTAAAATATATATGTACAAATTTGTTTTAGCTGAAAAGGTTTTCGTCAATGTTTTACGAGCTGTCAAAAGAGATCACATAGAGAAACTTTGATCACGGTACGCAAAAATTATTCGAACATAATCTGAAAGAATAGCGTCAACTAATTGGAGCTCCATTTGAAGACAAAACTGTATCCAATGACGTACTTCAGAAGTTACTCTCTGATGCAGGATTTGTTCTATCGGATCAACTCCGGATATTCAGAGATATAGTCCGCATCCTGTAGAAAAGACAGTTGCTCCAGAAACTAACATCACAATTTTCCAAATCCTCAACAACTCTGCTAAAGCTTCTATAATAACGGATTACTACAATAAATTTTCTAAGTTTGAAAGGAACAAAGGAATGCTTTGGTTGCTATTATAACACGATACTTCGAAGAATAAGAGATAATGATGTCGCTTAAGACGAGTTACCGCCTCGAAAAAGAAATATTGGAGATTTTGTTAAAGTTAACTAACAAAGAAAACTTTATATGTACAATATGAATATCTATTTGTGTTAACTTTTAGACACCTTTATTGTGTTATCGCTTTCTGCTCGTGTACCGGATGTTTTGTCTAATAAGCAGGTTCGCAAAACGGGAGCGGTGGACAGCAGCGAATATAACATTGTTTTAATAGTTAGTTCTAGATCTGCCTTCTGTACAACAGTACATGTTTAATTAAATATATTTTCTTTTATTATTCTTGGCTATTATCACTGTGTATCATTACTGGTAATACTCAACAGATTTCCTACTGAGAAACTGGTAACGAGTTAGTCGTCAAAATGAACATCAAATAAATATGATAATCTTTGGAATATTATAGGACAAGTAAAAGATGAAATGCTCTGTTAAAACATATTTCGCCAAAAACCCCACAAGACACTCTGCAACGCAGTCCGAACGAAATTTCAATTTGGTAAGGATGCGAGGTTACTTGAGCTTTTATTGAATTATATCTAGTTTATCTTTATATTTATTCTAGTTCTAGAAGACGATTCAGAAACGATAATAAGAATCCATTATTGTTCAATATTCTGAAGACTTCGAAATCTAATCTAACGTAACAAAGAGAAGGAAACTATTGTTTGGGGCCTGTCAATGGTGAAAAATTAAAGAAATTCACATTTGAGGATGAACATTGTGCAGGTTTCCTCGAAGGGCTGGTCTTTATTGCTGATTTAAAAATAGTCAACGCTGGGACCTCGGACCATTTACCATTAATACTTAGCCTTTTCCTGCCTGTACTGAAGCAGGGAGAGTCCGATCAGCCAACCTCTGAAAAAATTACGGTGGAAAGAGGATGCTGCGGAATATTATCACGAGTTGCTGAGTTCTGAAGCGCTTGAGCCTGTCTCCGACACTAATGAAGATGTAACAACAAGAGCGGCAAGATTCACTGCGGCTATCCAAATGGCTGCAAAGGAGGCTGGCATGGTTAAACAAGTACATTTTAACCCTGAGCTGGTGCATAAAAAGATAAAATGGTTTACTCAAGATTGCTGGACTCGTGAAACAAACCGAGAGATTATGGAGCAAGCGGAAAGATGTAACATCAAAAGACGTATACATTAAGGCAAGAAATGACTACATAGCTATGATCCGAAGAAGTAAGAAAGAGCTACTCAAGAGGCAGCGGAAGGAACTAGTTGAAGCCAGGGGTATGAGAACATTCTGGCGTGTCGTCAACGAGTACAGGAGGCCAAAAAAAACATAAATGCCCTATCCCGGGTCACAAATGGCAAGAATTTTACTCCAACATAATGCCAAACCAAGTGCAGTCACCTATACTATTTTTGGACGCCAGACACCCAGCGCTTGATGGCGACATAACGGTAGATGAGTATTGCAAGCGATTAACCAAGCTAAGTCGAACAAGAGCCCTGGACCGGACGGCTTGAAAATCAATTTTTATAAGGCGCTTCCAAGTAGTCATATCAATGAACTCACAGCATTAATGAACTTGATATTCAGCTTGGGGACAATACCGGGAAACTTGCCAAGGGCAGAAGTAGTAATGCTCCATAAAAAAGATGACCTAAACGATCCGCTTAACTATCGAGGCATCGCTCTGGCTAACGCCAATGCCAAAATATTTACCGCTGTACTGGCAAGGAGGCTGTCTTTATGGTGCGAGGATGTAGATCTACTACCGGAGGGACAGGCTGGTTTCCGACAGCACAGATCTTGTGAAGATAATATCTTTGTTTTGAGCACAAAAATAACCACAGCACCATGCAAGGAGAGAGGAAAACTATATGCTTTATTCATTGACTTTCGTCGGGCGCTTGACTCGGCGGTCCACGCAAATATGTGGTCTAAATTATACCAGGCTGGAATTAGTACACAAATAATTAATCAAAGTGCTCCAAGATTTATATAATAAAACATCAGTGAGGATTAGGGTAGACGAAATACATCGAACCGAAGAGATCAATGTGACGGAGGGAGTCCTGCAGGGAGACCCACTGAGCCCACTTCTCTTCATTATATTTCTCCACGACTTAATGGACTTTTTTGTAAAGGACATTACAATGTGATTAAAGACACGGACATTCTACTATTTGCAGACGACTTAACGTTGATGTCAAAAGACATCGTCGAAATGCAACACAAGCTAGACACGCTCGAAAAATACTGTGAATTGAACAAAGTAACAGTCAACGTTCAAAAGACTAAGGTCATAATGTTCCGCAAGGCGGACAGAATTCCAAAGCAGAGAAGGCTCAAGTATAAAGGTCAGTCAACATAAAATTGTACTCTGCTGAACGTTATTTTAACAATACGCGCAGTTGTTTGTTAAACTCGTGATCGTCCCAATATACAGTTCTTAGGGCTCGTAAATCAATAATTAAAATGACAGGTCTACTGTAGATTTGCGTATGCATTTAAAATCAAAACATAAAATTGATAGCAAAATAAAAAATTTGGAGAATTTCCCAATGTCGTCAGGTACTGCCGTCGCTTAAACAACAACGTATATATGTGATTAAGATGCGTGAGTTTCTTGAAGAGCAGTTTCCTCAACAGTGAAATGGACATAGGGGCGTTGCACCTTGGTCGGTGCGTACTCAGGATCTAAATCTAAATCAGCTTGACTTTGTATAAGCTTATATAAAACAGCACGTATACCAAACCGCAGTGGACAACCTTAATAATGTGCCCGACCGCGTGATGATCGCTGCAATCGAAATACGTCAAATGTTTGGACGATTCGGAAATAATTTCAATAAATACCTGTCTTCTAGCATGAGTGTTAAGATTGGTACTTATTTATATTACAAAGGCGACGAGTAGCCGTGAGTCAGATTAATAAACAGGCATGTATGGGAAATCATAAATCTATTGATATGTGTTCGACAGTCGCCGAATTTCTTTGTTACACAAGCAGTTTAGTCCGTAAGAAAACAGTTTTTCTTTGTTTCGGAAATAACATGTGTGAAAACAGTTAGTAGTTAAGCAGTCTTTGTTCAGCTCTCGTTTTGTAAACTACACATGTACTTTCAGTATTATCAATAGACACCCTCATTAAAGCTACTGATTCCATTTTTTTTTATCGCAACCCTGACAATGGGGTTTTAGTTTCGAGCAATTTGTGTAATGCACGTATGTGTGGAGAAATGTTTAATGGTGTCGTTTCCGAAACCTATAACACCTCAATAAACAAAAACACAAAGCCCACTTACAGTAAAGATCACTAAATAATTCATTTTTTCTAATGGAATGACAGGGCTATTGGTGAACCATCCACAGGAAAAGGTAACGCGTCTGACAATACATCGATGGTGGCGTGGATTTTCCGAAATTAAATTGCGCTTATCCAGATGATTTTTTTTTTTTCTTTTGGGTGTTTCATTCCCACCAGCCAGTAATGCTGGTGGGCGGGCAGTCCCTCCGGACTACGCCGGAAGGTAGGACGGAAGGCCCTCTTAGCCTGCTTTCAGGAATCGTGGGAATGGGTGGGTGGTGGTTCGGGTGAGAAAGATGAGAAGGAGAAATGAAGACAGAAGACAATGAAAGATTATCTGTGGAATATTACTGCCTCAGCATTTGCCTAGGTGATCCTAGGAAACCACAGAAACCAAGGCAGACGGACCCGGAATCGAACCGGCGTCCAGATGATACTCATTTACCTACTAACGTTTCCGTAACGAACATTTTTCTTTTTTTTTTTGTTCTCTGATAGATACTGAGGTGTAATTTACTATTGGGGTGTACACATCTACGTTCGCAATTCACGCACAGGACCGGCTTTAAATTGTAAACTGAAGTGGTTTTCTTAAATTTTTTTGCCCTTAACCACGCTGCTAAACTTACCATGCAATTCCTTGTTGCATCTAATTTGCACCCTCTCAAGTTCCGCACTTATTTCTGTTACACTCTGTACATGTATTTGAAAAACCAATTATATATGATATATATATATATCATATGCATATCATTCTTATGTTGTAGATTTCATTTTCGTTGCCAGTGTCACTTTGTATCAACTGAAAAGAATGTCAATAGTCTCCTTAATGAACGAATAAAACAACTACAATTTACATAGGTAATCTTTATTAAAAAGCTAGTAAATCTGTTGCTATTTACAATTTTCAATCCAATATTTCAATAATGGTTTATCACAGTCTTGAACTCCCATAGATTGGAGCAGCGTAACATCATCAGGTGAGGTTACTTTCACTAAATTTGATGCAATATTTCGCCATCTCAGAAGCAAATAATTAAAAAATGATTCGAGCGCCGCATCTGGTAAATCAGGGTTCCTCAATGCCTTTTCAATTTCGATCTGTAGAGAAGGCAATTTGTTTGGTAGCTGCTCGCTCCATTCCACCTTCCAAATTTTCTTGTATTTTAATATGCAAGGAGGACGTAGTCGGCATGGAGGCCACTCTTCAGGTAATAATGTGCGAAATGTTTCTCTAACAGATTCGTCATCAACCAATAATTCGCAACCAGTTAGAACACAAAAGCAAACGGTTTGAAAATTATTCTTCAGCCACGATCTACAAAAAGATCTCAAATTCACTGGCGACCGTGAAGGAAGTGGCATCACGTTTCTCGGAGATTTTTCAGTAATTGTTTCAGAGTTTAATACCCAGCTAAACCACAAATGAATATGCCCAAAAATTGCAGGTTGACCTGTTAATTCCGACAGCGACCTAGAAGTTGTTTTCGGAGAACCTTGTGCTTGCCTTAAGGCCCTTTGCGATTTTTGTTCTTGCTCCAACTCGTTTATCCGAGCAGCCTGTTGCTGTAAATCTTTGATCAACTCCTTTATATGTTCACTCAAACTTGGCCATATATTAAGCAGGTGAACCTGAAAAGTATAACCTTACAATATCCAACTATAACAACTAATATACAATTAGTTTAGGATAACAAAAAAAACATCAACAATAACCATGAATATTGCTTAAAAGATGAAACATCTGTAAGTGAAAATAAAAAGAAATAGAATCCTATAGAAATAATTAAACTCGTCTTCCACCATAGGCGAAATGCGAACTGTAATATACTAGGAGAGAGTGAATGACAAATGGGGTAAGATAATGAAACATTGACTGTTAAATGAAATGATTTTTATTTAAGTGGTTTTCTACATTTACTACGAGTGTAGCTGCAACATACAGAAAGATGATGCACTCGTTTATTGCTTAATCGGGTATTTAACACATTATGATAAACGTGTCGTTCGTTGTGGTATCGTACATATAAAACATACAGTTTTGTTCGTGAAACAGTAAGAGTACATGTGAACAGTTATTAATATGGAAATAGTTGAATGATACTGTAACAGACTGTAGTGTCCTGTATTGTTCTTAATTATGATAAAAAGAATATGTAGGTTTTCCGTGGAGCAGACGGTGTAACCAAGATGACGAGTTCGTTATAATCAAACTCATTTTGGGTTTAGGCATCATAGCTGCCACGGGAAGAAGAGAAGGGGGAGCTCCCAATAAGCTAAACCCAAACCCTTATTTTCTAGATGGTGCGTAATTATAAGCGACCTAAGGTTGTCGCCAATCTTGGTCGGAAGATAGATTAAAAACTGCTATGTATGCTGCCTTAGAAGGGAACAACACAGTGAACAACTTGAGATCCTAGAGATTACACTACGCAGGTACATAAAGAAACAGAAAAGCCAAGAAGAACTGCCTGGCACATACAAGTCTACGTTCGACAAGACTGAAGATGAATTGGATCTTAATGCTCCTGCAATTGGTCTCACAGCGACAGTATGCAGAATAATCGCCTTCGAATTTGCCGTTCGGACCACTAAACACTTTCTATAGTCAAGCTTACGACAATGTGAATCTAGTGAAGAATCCAGGAAAAACAGTTTCTGACAAAGACGTAACGAAACTTTTTGGAGAGGCTTATTTAAAAGCCGCTGCAGTTTTTAATGATGCAGATTTTGCACCGGTTGCAATAAGTAAGCGTGAAGATCTAACAAGTAATGAACCTCCAAGTAACAATGAATCGTAAGTGACAATGAACCGATTATGTAATATAAGAAGACATTAGAAGCAAGTATATCATTTAAAACATAAAAATTCATTATACCTTGTCTTTCATTAACATCAGTACACTGTACTTTCGTTGAAAGCCACGTGCTAACGAGTCCTGTAATAGAAACGAATGACTAATAACGTGGCCACGTTCACTATCACCAAAGTAAATTGAACCACCATCCTTGCTGGTTTCTTCCTGAAAACAAAAAACTCTTATTCAGTCAACTTCGGTAATTTTATAAATACTGAAAAGTATAATTTTACATCACAAGCAGAGGACAGTAAGCTAATAACAGTTATTTGAGAGTTGAGAAGAAAAAAGAACTTTCAACCTTCACAATTACGGCGTCTCCTTCTTCTATACACTAAATTAAGGAAGAAGGTACATGAAAAAGAAATAGAATAAGCCATCTTCCACCACTTAGTGATATACAGTAGAATCTCACTAATCCGGCACTTTAATAGACCGACACGTCCAATAATCCGGTACACTCCGCACGTGCCTCCTTCACCCCTCCTCCACTCTATGCACCACGTAATGCGCCAGTCAGCAATCTTCGTTATCATCTATCACGTGCGCACATATTTACTTCTTGTTTTCAGGTGAAAATAGTATAGTTAAAAATGACAAGTAAACGTAAACACAAGACTCTAGCTTTGAAAGATAACATGAACATTTTAATGAAATTAGACAGTGGTGAAAACACGTGCAAATTGGCGAAAGAATATGGAGTTGGGCGTGCTACTGTACACGATCTTAAGAAAAAAAAACAAAAGATAGTGGATCACGTGAAGACAATGGAATCTAGACCAGGAAAGTATAAAAGATTAAGAGTTGGTGATTGTCCAAAGATAGAAAACGCTCTGTACATGTGGTTCATACACTAGCGTTCTAAGCACACTCCTGTATGTGGAGAAATTCTGAAAACAAAAGCTATTGAATTTTATCAAAAATGACTAAAAAAGATGATTTTCGTGCCAGTGATGGGTGGTTGGATAAATTTGAAAAGCGATTTGGTATCCGTTTGTTAACCATATAGGGCGAAAAATAGTCAAGCGACGAATCTGCAGTGCAGCTATTTATCCAGCATTTTAAAGATAAAGTAGAAGAACTGGATCTTCTTCCTGACCAGATCTATAATGCAGACGAGAGTAGTCTGTTCTGGAGACTGTTGCCTAATAAAACTTTCGTATCCTTTAAAGAAGCGGGCGCACCAGGTCGTAAAGTGAGTCACATTTATGACGTATTCAAATACTACTGGAACACACAAATTGGGTTTATTAGTGATTGGCAAAGTTAAAAATCCCAGAGCTTGCCGGTCTGTTACAAGAACCAATCTAAAAGTTAGGTCACGAGAGAGGTCTTTAATGAATGGTTTCATAGACTTCGTCCCAGAAGTGAAGAAGTTTATGAAAAGATCAAACTTGCCCATAAAAGCGTTACTCGTACTTGATAATGTTCCAGGTCACCCAAATGAACAAGAACTTAGATCAAGTGATGGAAATATCTAAACCATCTTTCTGCTACCAAAATGCACACCTTTATTGCAACCGATGGATCAAAATGTTATCCAGAAGGTAACATCTTTGTATAAAAATAATTTGCTTATCCACATTATTTCTCAGGATTACGATATTACACAGAGCCTCAAAGGGCTGAATTTGATATTCATTTGTATTCTCCCTCGCTCATGCATGGAGCTCTGTTCCACCTGTCCAATCATCATGGAAAAAGGTATGGTCTACAATGAATGCTGTATCACAAGAAACAGAAGAATAGGATCCTGAAGATAATCTACCTATTGCCGATCGGTTGCAAAATTTATCAGAAAAAGGATTCGAGACAAGTGAAGATTTAAATTCATGGTTTGAAGAAACAGAGCAAATTATGACAGATGAAGAAATATGATTGCTTCATGAAACACCTCTTCATGCTCAGAAAGTGACAGTATGGTGTGCAATGTCGGCAAAAGGAATCATCGGTCCGAATTTTTTTTTAGAATGAGGCTGAAAATGCCGTTACCGTTAATTCTGAGAGATACGTTGCAATGATTCGGAACTTCCTCACACCTCCACTTCACCGCTTTCGAGTTTATAAAAACACACTTTTTCAACAAGACGGTGCAACAAGCCACACTGCTAGAATTTCAATGAATGCGGTGAATGCATTGTTCCCAGGGCGTGTCGTTTCTCGAAACGGGGATATCGCTTGGTCCCCTCGGCCTCCCGGCTTTACTGTCTGCGACTTATTTTTATGGGGTTATCTGAAAACGAAAGTGTTTGGAACTGATCCACCCAGGACAATCTCGGCCCTCAAACAACGAATTCGTGACGAGATTGCAGCAATACCTGTTGATAGGCTGCGAAGAGTTATGCAGAACTTTCAGGCTCGACTCCATGAATGCATAGGTGTCACACTTTTTGGTGGAGGTATTGCCTCTCACTTCTGGAACTCATCTGGAAGAGCGCCAGGAGCCTGAGTTACCTACTTCCATTCTACCTGATTTCCCGGATCAACGACAGCATACCTCTAGCGGTAGAGTGAGTTGTTTATTACATCTTACGAACTGTTGGTGAGCAATTGTTATTTACATTTTCGCTTTTATTGCAACAATGACGACGGAATCAGACACGTTACGATATCAAAATCAGTATTTTTCATATGACAAGGCTTTTAAGTTAATTCAAAATTTTGACGGGACAATATCTCAACTTAATAATTTCATCGACGTAGTTGATTTTGTGTATGATAAATTTGACCCTCAAGACTACCCAAGTTTTCAGTTTATTGTAAAAGCCAAGCTCGAAGACCCTGCGTTTGGATCAAGTAGCTTCATTTGAATTGACTTCTTGGAAAGATATAAGACGAGAATTGCTAAAAAAGTTTGGGGAAACTCTTGATATACACTGTCTTGCCTTCGAAATGACACATCTCAAACAATTAAGTAATGAAAAAACTCTCGATTTTGTACGTGTTGAAAAGCGTTTATTACGTATCCAAAAAATTATTAAATACGACACCACTCATAATTTGCACGCGAAAGCATTACTTCGCGAATACCAAGAAAAGTCTGCCTTATTAAAAATCATCAATGGTCTGAAAGATCCATTAAGTTCATTCGTTCGTTTACAAAAACCTAACTCTATTGCTAAACTAATAAATTTAATCAATGATTTTGAAAACCAGCAGTTCATGTAAAACAGAGTATTTTCCGACCCCGTAACCCTAACAATTCTTATCAGCAGCAGTCGCTAGCTACCAACTCAAGTCCTCCGCAAGTCCCTCATAAACCCCCAATAAAACTTGTAATAAAAAAATGTTCATTTTGCAACAGGCTAGGGCATAGTATAGAAAACTGCTACGCTAAACACCAAGTCAAAGCGGAACCCAAAACGGTAATCAAAACATACTCTAAAAACCCCGTATGTATTGAACCCAACGATAGCGAAATTGTTGAATGTGAAATAGCGGCTGCAAATTTTTGCGAAACAGCCTCAGACGAGCAAACATTAGACTTAATGTCCTGAACGACATGAACGAATTGGAAATATATTGGATCACTTGCCAGACTTGCGGTTAGTGGGCGCATTGTGGCTGTGCAGAAGTGGAAGATAACGATGACGAAGCTGTCCATATCTGCCCGGTTTGTGAAGATAACGACAATTAAATATTTGATACCCCATCTTACCCAAGGGGGTACCCCATGTTGCCCAAAAGATGGGGGAATATGGGGAGATTTTGATTTTTTTTTTTTTTCAAGTTAATAATTCGATGAGAAGAATTTAATTTTTCTTGTTTTGACTGATTATAATTAAAGAAAGATTTATAAAATTTTCTTGGGCATAATTTTATTGAAAACTTTTTTATTTGCAACAATCTGACTGTATCCATTTGGCAGCAAACATAAAACGAACACGTGCGGCGGTAGAGTGAAATCAAACTGTCAATAAATCATTGATAACGTTAAAGATGTCTTTCAAGAAATTGACATTTGTTTGGTTTTTATTTTTAATGCCAATATTCAGGATAATCATGGTGCCAAAAAAATCATAATTCCAACGGGAACCAAACATGTGGAGAACGTTCGAATATGATCAGTATTAGGGCGTGTTGAAACGCTATAGGAAAACAACTTTTGGGTGTTTCATTCCCACCAATGCTGGTGGACAGGCAGTCCCTCCGGGCTACGCCGGAGGGTAGGGCGAAAGGCCCTCTTCAGCCGCCTTTTAGGAATCGTGGGATTGGGTGGGTGGTGGTTCGGGTGAGAAAGATAAAACGGACGAAATGAAGACAGAAGAAAATGAAAGATTATCTGTACGATATTACTGCCCCAGCATTTGCCTAAGTGATCCAAGAAAACTACAGAAAAACTTAGACTAATTGAACCGGCGTCCTCTCGAATGCTAAGCAATGGTCTAAACCTCTGGGCCATGCCACTCGGTATAGGAAATTTATTACCCCTTACGATGGTGTCCAAAACAGGTAATTTGTACCAAGGTTGGACAAAAGAAGGTCCTATTTCAACGATCTAGTCACACACCTAGTGGTTGGTTCGATGTGGATAAGAAATTTTGTTGCCTAATTATAAAATTAAAGAAACTATCCCGGCAAGAAAAACCGTTGTTGGCGACAATCTTGTTTCCCATTTTTCACCTTCCTAATTGAAGAAGCGTTAGGAAAATTAAAAGTTTTAAACGAAAGAAATAGTTCGTAAACACGTTCGATTAGTCAGTACGTCACCTTGACTTGAACCATATATTTGTAAACTTATATATCTAACAATAAGCTAAACATGGTCCATATTCTTAAGTATAAACATTGTGATTAATTCGGATATGGTTCCATGATTAGATTATTAATAAAATATCAAAAGGAATGTGATGACGTAAGTCACGTTTCTGAGTATTAGAGTATAAAGAAAAGTACGAAAAGAAAAAAGAAAGGGAGTTAGTTACGACTCACCATTGAATGTATAAAGAAGTTAAATAAAACGTTTTCAAGATCAAGACTATTTTCCAACAAAATCCTATATTCTAACAGAAGAAATTAAGGAACGTTAGAAACAATGAACATTACAATGCATACGAAGTTGACGTATCAAATCTAGAATCATTTTCAATAATTTCTGCCGATAATATACTTGGTCCAGCTTTTCACTCTAATAAGCTTCAACAAGAAGAACGATGCTGAGAGCGAAAGAATATTTTAAGATTGTCGGAATTTAGATGAATTTTCACTAACAATATTTCATGCATTATATTAATTTTATTTTAACTCCTTCGGTTGAGTGTTTTGTTTCGCAAAATTTATTTTAATTTATTTGTTTAAATTTTTCAATGCTATTCTTATGATGATAAAATGCTTTGAAATCAATTGAAGTTAAGCAGTGCAGCTTCAAGCATTACAGTTATTTATCAGTCATAAAATATACACTACATGCATACATACATGATAGGTAGACACTTATAAAGGCTGAAGTTGATATATAAATTTCTATTTATTTCATTCAAAATATATATGTACCAATTTGTTTTAGCTGCAAAGGTTTTCGTCAATGTTTTACGAGTTGTCAAAAGAGATCACATAGAGAAACTTGTAAAGAATTTTGATCTCGGTACGCAAATATTATTCGAGCATAATCTGGAAGAATAGTGTCAACTAATTGGAGCTCCATTTCAAGACAAAACTATATCCAATGACATACTTCAGAAGTTACTCTCTGATGCAGGATTTATTCGATCGGATCAACTCCGGATATTCAGAGATATAGTCCGCATCCAGTAGAAAAGACGGTTGCTCCAGGAACTAGCATCACAATTTTCCAAATCCTTAACAACTCTGCTAAAGCTTCTATAATAACGGATTTATTTTCTAAGTTTGAAAGGAACAAAGGAATACTTTGGTTGCTATTATAACACGATACTTCGAAGACGAGTTACCGCCTCGAAAAAGAAATTTTGGAGAGATTTCCTACTGAGAAACTGGTAACGAGTTAGTCGTCAAAATGAACACCAAATAAATATGTTAATTTTTGGAATATTATAGGACAAGTAAAGGAGAAAAACTGTACAAATGGCTAATTGCGAGGACATCGTTTGATCATGCTGTGTTAAAACATGTTTCCCCAAAACCCCACAAGACACCCTGCAGCGCAGTCCGAACGAAATTTCAATTTGGTAAGGATGCGAGCTTACTTGAGCTTTTATTGAATTATATATAGTTTATCTTTATTTATTCTAATGCAGAAACGATAATAAGGTCGTTAAAATTCTACAGTTTGTCAACAGAAGAATTCGACAATTGCTGGAAAGCTTGCTCCAGATACAGAATAAACGACATTGCTACGTTAGAAGCCTCATTAGTGATTTTGGAAAAATGGCTGTTTTATAAACAGCCCTCAGGATTTCGATTAGTAATTATTTAATTCATATTATCGTCCATTAGGACAAAGTTCCAAAGTTATGATGTCAAGTAAAACATTTATTTTCGTTACAGTGTCCTTTACAGCAACTAACGTGCTCAAAAATGGAAGCAATTTTGCTACGTATTTTAACAATAATGAACTCATCTAAAAGCTTGAATAAGTTACCAAACATAAATAACAATAATTTCAAAATCAAGTTTTAAATGTTTACTTTCCGTCAATTTGTCCATTTAGACAGCTTTTTTTCTAATAGATTGGAATGGACTTTGACGTAGCATTTGAGAATGATGATGGTCTTATGAATAACTGGGAAGAGGTCTCAAAAATTTTATCATTTTTAATGGAAGGAAATGTCAAAGACAAATAATCAAATCCGTATTAGCAAGAGTAGTTGGAAAGGAAGATGTACGTGAAAGTGAGTATCACTAGGTTTAACTGCTATGCTTTTACAATGTTTGTCTTCTATATTTCTTAATGTGAAATTTGCATATGCTCAAATAGCATTTATAAATCTTATATTTCCTAATTTTTAAAAATTGCTCAATAAATCAGCTCTACCTACAATTTTTCATTCTTTTGCAGACGGCAGAGATGCAGCGTTTATGTGGGCACTTCACGATTATTTTGTGCCTACCAACAAGGTAGTGAAAAAGGATGTAACTGGCAAAAACCAAACAACTACATTCACGATACGGGATTCCCAACAATCGTTTTTATACATAGGCCAAGTAATACAAGAAGTTGAGGACTGGATCCAATTTCTTGTATCGAAGAAAACAGCAATCCAACCATTCATCTTTACCATTACAAACGATATAACCGAAATTAGTAGAAACGACAGTTGATCCAGGAACTAACATAACAATTTTCCAAATCCTTAACAACTCTACTAAGGCTTCTATGATAACGGATTACTACAATAAATTTTCTCAGTTTGAAGAGGAACAAAGGACTGCTCTGATTGCTATTATAACACGATACTTCGATGAAAAAGGGATAATGTCGCTTAAAACGAATTACCACCTCAAAAAATAAATTTTGGAGAGATTTCCTACTAAGAAACTAGTAACGAGTTAGTCGTCAAAATGAACATCAAATAAATATGATAATTTTTGGAATATTATAGGACAAGTAAAAGAGGAAAGCTGTACAAATGACGAAATGCGAGGACATCGTTTGATCATGCTGTGTTAAAACATGTTTCCCCAAAACCCCACAAGACACCCTGCAACGTAGTCCTAACGAAATTTCAATTTGGTAAGGATGCGAGCTTACTTGAGCTTTTATTAAAATATATCTAGTTTATCTCTATATTTATTCTAATTCCAGAAGACGATGCAGAAACGATAATGAAATCGTTAAAATTCTACAGTTTCCCAACAGAATTAGACAACTGCTGGAAAACTTGCTCCAGATACAGAATAAACGACATTGCTACGTTAGAAGCCTCATTAGTGATTTTGGAAAAATGGCTGTTTTATAAACAGCCCTCAGGATTTCGATTAGTAATTATTTAATTCATATTATCGTACATCAGGACAAAGTTCTGGAGTTATGACGTCAAGTAAAAAACTTAAACATAAATAACAATAATTTCAAAATCAATTTTTAAATCTTTTTTATAATAGATTGAAATGGACTTTGACGTAGTATTTGAGAAAGGTGATGGTCTTATGAAAAATTGGGAAGAGGTCTCAAAAATTCATTTTTAATGGAAGGAAATGTCAAAGACAAAATAATCAAATCCATATTAGCAAGTGTAGTAGATGAATTTTCACTAACAATATTTCATGCATTATATTAATTTTATTTTAACTCCTTCGGTTGAGTGTTTTGTTTCGCAAAATTTATTTTAATTAATGTGAAATTTGCATATGCTCAAATAGCATTTATAAATCTTATATTTCCTAATTTTTAAAAATTGCTCAATAAATCAGCTCTACCTACAATTTTTCATTCTTTTGCAGACGGCAGAGATGCAGCGTTTATGTGGGCACTTCACGATTATTTTGTGCCTACCAACAAGGTAGTGAAAAAGGATGTAACTGGCAAAAACCAAACAAATAAATTCACGATACGGGATTCCCAACAATCGTTTTTATACATAGGCCAAGTAATACAAGAAGTTGAGGACTGGATCCAATTTCTTGTATCGATGAAAACAGCAATCCAACCATTCGTCTTTACCATTACAAACGATATAACCGAAATTAAGGAAGTGTATGTTTATTTTGATGGAATCAAGTATAAATTCTTCAGTGTGCTGCGTGCTGTGGATATTTGTTTTAAAATTATTTATATTTTTAATATGAACTTTCCAACTGCATGTGTTATGTTTTAGAACTTTATAGAAACGTATTTTTATAAAAATTCGTTTTCTAAGACACATGTATTATATGAATATTTAAAGAAATAAAATACACGCAAATTGAATGTTTGTCTTACTTGCGCCTTGTCGTTTGAACCATTTGCAGATAACTATTAAGGAAATACTAGCTAAAATGTTCAGTTTTATTAGGTCTTCCTGATTTTGAAATATGATTTATACTTTAATTTCAAATCATAAGCACCCAGTCTTAGGTTAACTACCCAATATTGTTGTTTTGAACCATTGCCATTACAATCAGTTTATCCACCACCATCACCTATTCACACCTAACATCAATACTACTACCAGTACTTTCCTCCATACGCCTCTGCCCTGACATACTACAGAAATAAACAAAAATTTCAAAATAGAGCGACAACGCATAGTAGAATCCCTGTTACGATTACATCTCAATGAAGAGGAATCGACTCGCATCAAATGGACCTGCAAGGAGTTCTACGACATTTTCTACATCGAAGGTAACAAATTAACATTTAGTAATTCTATAAAACACAAGATAGAAACATGTGATTCACAACCGTGTTACGTCAAAACACACCGATATCCAAAAATCCATAAACCAGAGGTAGCATCCCAAGTGAGGAAGATGCTGAACCAAGACATAATCAGACCTAATTTCTCGACATGATCATTTCCCGTCTGGGTGGTACCGAAGACGATTGATGCTTCAATTAAGCAGAGAGTTGTCATCGATTATTGGAAATTAAATGAGAAGACCATCTCCGATATTCACATAGGGAAACTTGTAAATAATTTTGATCTCGGTACGCAAATATTATTCGAACATAATCTGGAAGGACAGCGTCAACTAATTTGGAGCTCCATTTCAAGACAAAACTATATCCAATGACGTACTTCAGAAGTTACTCTCTGATGCAGGATTTGTTCTATCGGATCAACTCCGGATATTCAGAGATATAGTCCGCATCCAGTAAAAAAGACAGTTGCTCCAGGAACTACCATCACAATTTTCCAAATCCTTCACAACTCTACTAAAGCTTCTATGATAACGGATTACTACAATAAAGACGAAGACCATCTCCGATAAATACTCGCTACCGAACATTACCGAAATTCTAGATAACCTAGACCGAAGTGCGTATTTCACGACGTTGGATCTAACCTCCGGATTCCATCAAATTGAAGTCGAGAAAAAATCTATCCCTAAAACACCCTTCAATACCGAACAGAGTCATTTTGAGTTGTTCAGGATGCCATTTGGACTTTAAAAAACTCCCCATCCACGTTCCAGCGTGTAATGGATAATGTACTTACAGGACTTAATAACACTCAATGCCTCGTTTATCTGGATTCGTTATTTTTGGTTCTACACTTGCTGAACATAACAAAAGGTTGATAAATGTCTTCAAAAGACTCAGATCCCAAAACTTGAAGATACAGCCAGATAAATGCAAGTTCCTTGGGGCACTGTACACTAACAGTGAAGTGAGGGGAAGCGGGAATAGTGAGCTGTTTTGTGTTTCGATTTGTTTTGTCTACAACCGATATCTGACGTATGAACGAATTTCGCGAACTTCATATACAGTGGGTTGCCAAATTAATAGGGACAGTCACATTTTTTATCATATTTTTTCTTTAGACGCGTTTGACTGTTATTTCAAGTGGCGTAAGTGGTCCTGGAATGTATTTTTATGTTCACAGCACCTCTACAAATCAACTTGAAAGTAAATTTCAAGTGTTATGGGATTTGTTTATTTTGTAAAAATATTTTATTATCAGGAGAGACGCACAGTCCTTCACACGTGTAAAAGTGAAATACGTAAATAATTATTTTTAAAAGTTCTTTTGTGATTTAGTGACATAATTATTAACTGCAAGTAAGTATTACTTTATTGTTATTAAATTTAAAGTATTATGGGGCTGATTTTAGGATGAAAATAATTTATTTTTTATTTTTACAGCTTTCACTATGGGTCGAGGGTTAGATTTATCTCCAAGAAAAAAGTCTGAGGTTAAAACCCTTCTTTTGCACACAAGTCATTCCCAGAGGAAGATAGCAGAACTGGCTGGTGTTTCTAAGTCTGTAGTAAATAAAATAAAAATAAATCTGGATCAAGATCAGCCACTTTCGCCCAAACGAAAAGGCAAATGCGGAAGAAAACGGATTACAACACCACGGTCCGATAGGAAAATCCGGGACATCTGTTTGCAAAACAGGAAGAAAAGTGCTGGATTGTTAACACAGATGGTACAGGAGTCTGGAATACAAGTTTCTAAGAGAACTGTACAGCGAAGGTTGGCAGAGGAAGGCCTGACCGGTCATCGTCCAGCTAAAAAACCGCGACTGACAGAGGCGATGAAGAAGAAACGACTTGCTTGGGCTCGTGAACACCGTCTGATGAGTGTTGAAGACTGGAGCAAGGTCAGTTTTAATGTCAATTTATATTTTATATTAATGTTATGATATATTATTTAAAAACATTCTCATAAAAGTTATAAATACTTTTTTTTCAGGTGTGTTTCTCAGACGAATCAACATTTGAGATTCTAGCCGATAAAAGCAATTTTGTCAGACGGCGCCCAGGCGAGAAATTTCACCCTGACTGCATTGTGGAACGCGTTAAACACCCTGTTAAAATTATGGTATGGTCTGTCATAAGTGCTAAAGGGGTTGGGCGTCTCTACATTGTCCAGGGAACCATGAGACAGGACCAATACAAGCAGGTCCTAGACACTCGCTTGTTGCCGCAACTCCGGGAATGGTTCCCAGAGGGGGAGGAATTCATGTTTATGCATGACTCAGCACCATGCCATAAAGCAAGGAGTGTAACAAAATTTTTAGCAGACCACAATATACCAGTTTTACCTTGGCCTGGCAATTCTCCAGACATGAACCCCATCGAAAATTTATGGGAAATTACCAAGGCGGAAATTGCCAAGGAAATGATAACCACCAAGGTAAAACTGATCGAAAAATTAATAAATGTGTGGCACCACAACCCTAAAATAAAGGAGAGTGCCAAACAGTGCATAGAAAGCATGCCAAGGCGGATCAAAGCACTCATTCAGGCTAAAGGAAATGTGACAAAATATTAGCAATATCTCATTGCCATTTTCATAATACCTGCTAATATTTTTTAATTACCTAAAGATTATTATTTTTTTGTTTAAACTACTTGTAAGATATGTGTCTAATATTATTAAATGTAATTATAACTCAAAACAACGTTTTTAATTTGTTATGGACCAATAAAGTGTAAAAAACCAATATTTTGCGACTGTCCCTATTAATTTGGCAACCCACTGTATAAGGACAGAGTGTAAAAGCTCATTGAGCATACACGAGAAGTAATAAATAAATAAATATTAAAGTAGACTTCATAGAAATAAATGCCCTAGAAGATATCCAATTATACAAAAGTAGAAATTACGACAACCTAGAGCATTATTCCCTTAAGGAAAATTTGGTCACTAAAATGCCGGCTATCATGACATCCTATTCAACAACAGATACTGACATATTTATCCTCAATCATAATGACAATAATGAACTAGTACGAATTGCAAGCTTCATAAAAAAATTATACCAAATACCTAACGACCTTAAGGTACTTACAAAACCCTACAATCCCCTCAATAAAGATCAAATAAATCATTTAATAAAAAAATACCATAGTTCCCCAGTTTTCGGTCATAATGGCATAAACGAAACTGTAAACAAAATTCAAGAAAAATACAAATGGAAAAACATGTACGAAAACATTAAAAACTTTGTGAACGCTTGTGAAATTTGTCAGAGATCAAAGATAGTTAGGCGTAGTTTTGATAGTCCTTTAACTTTGGTCACCATACCCAACAAACCATTCAAAAGAATAGATATGGATGTTGTAGATATATCTTTAGGGAAAGAGACACGGTATGTATAAACTATACAGGACCAATTGACGAAATATGTACAGGCTTACCCACTTAAAAGTAAAGCAGCGGAAGATGTTACAAACACCTTAATTAAATATTCTAGCTCATTCGGAATCCCCGACCGAATTCATTCTGACCAGGGTACGCAATTTCTGAATAAAACATTAAAAACCGTTGAAAAATTACTAAGCATTGAAAAACATTTTCCATAACCTATCACTCGCAAAATAACGACGGCGTAGAAAGATTTCATGCCCCTTTAAAAGAGACATACCTATACAACATATATACTACAAAAGATCAACGACCACAAATTTTAAAAAACAGATTAAATTAGATTATCAACCCTGGCATATAATATTGCAAAACATACCGGCACAGGTTTTACCTCATATGATTTATTATTCCGACACAAACACAAAAACCCATACCATAACATACAGTCAAAAGACATATTAGTCAATGAGTACGTCAATAAAATAAACAATATTTTAAATATGGTTAGACGGCAAGCTATCAACAATTTAATGAGATATAAAGAAAAGATTAAACAAAAACATGACGAAAGTATCAGACCCCTCCCTATATATGGGAAGGTCCATTCGAAATTTTAAAAGTCCTTTCAAGGAAATGGGAGCGAACTAATTTTCGACCTCAACGTGAGAGGTATGAACCTTGTGTTCAAGATCTGTTCATCCCTGAAAATATTCCAGGGCCTATTGGTTTTTTCAATACATATGTTGACGATAGTTTTTTTCAATCCACGGCTATGTACAGAAACATGAATGAAGTGAAAAAATCTGGAAAGTCTCTGAATACCAGTCCAAAAGAGTTAAAAACATTTTTTGAGTGCTGTATGCTCATTGGTATTTACAGTTTACCAAGAATTCGAATGTTTTGGAGATCTGACATCAGGGTACCAATCGTTTCGGACAAGAAATCGTTTTTTACTCTAAGAACACGGCTAAAACTTGTGGACTATGATTCCATAACCAAGGAGACTAAAACCCTTGACAGATTTTGGAAAATCAGACCGATTTTTGGATTCAATCCAAAAAGCTTGCCTACAAAATGAAAGACCCCAACAAGTATCAATTAACGAACAAATGATACCGTCCCATGGAAAAAGTGCGGGGAAAACCTAACCCTGTTGGACTAAAAAATTTTGTTATGACGACTCCTAAGGGGATACACTCGATTTTCATTTGTACAAAGGGAAGGGCAAACATACCGAGTCAAGTCTAGTTCATACACCAGAAAAAGTAGATGTGGGTGGAAAAGTGGTTATGGAACTAACCGATACTTTACCAATAGGAATATCCGTTTTCGTCGACAGATACTTCACATCAGAAACATTGATTGAGATTGAGAATGAAAATGACAATACCAAAAACAAATATTCAATTATTATCTGACAAAGATTTAAAAAAATCTGAAAGGAGCAGCTATGATAAATGGTTTGATTCTAATCCAATTCATTTGGCTTCAGGAGAATTTGGAACAGAGCCGTTAGGATCATGCAAACGATGGTCAGCACAGCAAGAAAAATGCATAGAAATCAGTCGTCCGGCATTACAATGATAAAATGGGCGGTGTGGACTTGTTGGATAGAGTTATGTGAAAATACCCTATGAGCAGTAGGACAAATAAATGGACCATCCGATGTATTTACGCTTTCAGAAATTCTCAAGGCAGACATCCAAGATTATCTGTCATTCAAATTTTCCCTTGCTAAATCTCTTTTGTACAATAAAACAAGAGAACATAAATCAACTTCTGAAGAAGAGGAAAACGATCGCCAAACAAAAGGAGAAAATTTACGCCAGTTCTTGATAAACGTTTACGAAAGCATGAAGCTAAACATCTCCCGGAATACGTTAGTGAACAACAAAAATGTAGGTCAAAATGCAGATATCCGGGGCGTAAAAACATAACTTTTTGTAAGTATGTTCAATGCAACGTTTTTCTATGCTGCAGTATTAGAAGAATCTGCTTTTATAAATTTCACAAATACTAAAAAGATTTTCATTGTTTTAATAGCATAGTGTAGTGTAGTATCATCCATGATACCGTAGTTTTTAAAAAAAGTACGAGTCTTAAAAAAATTCATCTTACTGATTAGTATTTCATGACCCCCGAAAAGTAGTTATTTTGTCTGATATCAAAATTTTCCCGACAATTTCCTCTTGAGCCCGAAGAGGTTAATAAAGAATGCTAAAGAGATTTTTGAACAGGTACAAATAACAAAATCCTACTATAATAAACTAGGAAATATTAGAAGCAAAAAGTAAGAACGATATTACTTCATACCATTAGTTAACTTTAAAGAACTAGATAACGATCTTAAAAATATTTTACAAGTTCATATAAACCAACGACAAAAACGGCCATGGTTGTCCATAATCGGTAAAGCCTTCCATACGGTATTCGGGACTCTAGACGAAGACGACGCCGCCTTTTATGATAATGCTGTAGAATCCATTCAAAAATCAAGTCCGGAAACTTTAAAACTAATAAAGGAACACGTTACAATGTCAACCTTAAATACGCTAAGTAATACCAACAATACAATTAATAATAATGAAAGTGATAATGAAAAACGTTCATAATTTAGAAAAATGAGCAGCAAAACCAAACGATGCTAATACAAAACTAATTTACTCATTACTAATATTGGATACAGCCCAATTAATTTCAGAAATGGTCTCAACACTTAATAAGGAAATTAAAAATGTACTAAATCTAGCTACGTATGAGAAAATAGGAATGTTGCACCCGAGCGTAATTGAACCTCGCGTTTTGTAGTGAATGAACTTAAAAAGATTCAGTCGGAATCAAAAGAAACCAAGTTATCTTTCGATACAAATCTTGAGTTCATTCATTCATAGTTTAGTGTGATCAAACCAACAGTTTACTTAAACAAAGACAGGGTAATTGTTACTTTAAAAGTTCCACTGGTAGAACTAACCGTATTCAATTTGTATAAAATCTATCCTTGTATGTTTCGAGCACGGCGCTGTACGGGTGTGAAACATGGATAGTGGACACGGCGGAAAAGAAAAGGTTAGAAGCTTTCGAAATGTGGTGTTACAGGCAAATGAGGATACCGTGGATAGAGAAGGTTAGAAATGAAGAGCTATTAGAAAGAATAGGAGAACAGAGGACTCTATGGAAGTCAATAAAAAATAGGCGAGATAGGTTAGTAGGACACCTTCTCATGCATAAAGATCTAGTCAGAGACATATTAGAGGCTGAAACGAATGTTAGGAGGGATAGAGGTAGACCTAGATTAGATTACTGTTCGCAAATAGTTAAGGATATCGGTTGTTCTAGATTTAGGGAAATGGGAAGATTAGCTCAAGATAGGAAAGAGTGGAAGTGCGTAGTCTTAGGAATGACGACCTTATGATGATGAAAAATGCCCCGGACAGTGCATGTCTAAACATCAATTATACACTACATGCTTCATACAACTAGAACCCACATGTATGGGCTACCTTAACAATGGTATTAAAATAGCAGCACAACAGGACAAAATTTCCAACATCACCGTCAACGTCACCCTGCCGGAAATACCGATCAGCTGTTGCCAGCAAGACACGGAACCCTTACCGGATTAGAAGATGAAACCTATGCCTATGGGAAACCTCCACCACGACAGTTTAGACTTGAAACGAGAAAACCTCCAACAATTCTCAAATGACATAAACGACCAATTACACAAACCCCTGATCCAACTAAGACGGAACTGGCTATACACCATCCTCTCCATACTTGGCGCTATTGCAGGAATACTCTTCACTTTGCTTTAAAATGTTCACTCCATGGAGGCGATGTAAATCAATCGGAAACCACCTACTTTGCTTCCAAATAATAAATTGTAACGAATACATCCCGAAGTCAAGCGAAGAAAACCGTGAGCCCTTATCATTCCAGAGTAATGTACCTACAGCCCCAGGTGCAGAAACTATGGAGAATTAAATGACTTTTGTAAACTCAAACGAAAGAAACAAAATAAACGATTTTGAAATTTTCAGTTCGTAAGATAGAACTGTACTTACAGGGTTGTTTCATTTTAGACAGTAAAGAAAAATACAATAGATAATTTTTTTTATAATAATTTCATGGAAATAATTAATAACTGATAGGGGAGGTGTTATGAATACAATTAATGAAGAAGGTTACTTTCACCACCCAAAAGCTAGAATATGCTGACATAGATAGAACCTAATAGAATGTTGTATAAAAGGACCTATCCCAATGTAAAGTTAATTAGTCTGTTTCTGACAAATAAAGTACCTACAACTAAGTAAAACCATGCATTTCTTTAAGTAAATGTGGTCTACGGTAATAGTACTGACTCGTTCAACGAAGCAACCTCTCACATCCTTAAGTAAGTGTTGAACTAAAGCGTTCTCCAATAGATAAATCTGCGTGTCCATTTAATATAAGTAAATTGGATTTACAACTAAATACTGTACGTGTGTGGTAACTTCTGTGTCTAATAAATTGTACCAATATCGGTTTGAACCCTAAGTATTGTACGTGAGTGCAAAAGGTGCATCATCAGACCTACATGATTAAAATCAAAGAATTGTAAAGATTGTAAGCCTAACATCAAGCAAATGCCTTGTTTGTAAAAGTAAGACACCCTTTGTATAGATGTCCTGAATTCAAAAATGGACTGTAAATCGTAGATGGGATTTCGTAAAGACGAAAGGTATTAAATTTGTAAAAATTTCCTTCACCACATGAAGGTAAATGTAGGTACCCTTTTTGTAAAGAATATAATAAATTCCATAACAAAGTTTTGCATCATTTGCAATCAAATACCCTTGAAAGAATGATCATTTGAAACAACTAATTTATGACTACCTCGTAGACGCATAAATACTGTTACAACATTGAGTGCATTCATCCACGATTGTATTGTTGAACACATTTCGATTTAAGCAGTTACACTACAAAGTTAACATGTCTACTATTGGTATAGGAATAATATTCAAAAGTATCCTTGCCACCCAAATGGAATGGTTGGATAGAGAAAACCTTATGACTGTGGTAACGCTAAGTGTAAAATGAGTCAAGGCGATATTTCCAAATGCTTGGACCACTCGTGTATCAGTGCATTAAAGATCGTCACCTATCTGGAAGGTCATAAACAGTAAGAACACCACAAGCTGCCAAATCAATGAAAGTCACAATTCAGGGGAATCCGCTCAGGAAACAAAACATTATGACCCGAGAGATGAATATGAAATCGAAGTCAAACAAGACTTGGTGAATTACACGATCTCCACAAGAAAAACTCTTTACGGGTGAAAAAATCTTCACCTTCCAGGAAAAATTCAATAGGGAGAATGATAGGAATTGTGAAATCATCTAAAGAAAACTCTTAACTGATCCCAATAGTCGAAAACGGTTACCATCTAACATCAGTCATGGTTTGGTACGGTGTTTCCTACGATGGATTTACTGATTTGCACTTTTACGAAAACTGCGTTAAAACATCAGCCAGTCTATCAACAGACTATTCCAATTTCAAACCATTTAATGACACGTTTGTCCATAAAATACTATGGAGCTTTCTAAAAGACTCTGCGCTCACCCTTTTAAGTTTATATTCTTCTTGGCATTAACTCTAAATCAGATCGAAAAACTTCAACTACATCTGTGCAATGTTCTTTACCATCCGAATTAAGAAATGTACTATTGACAACAATATATCTGATAAATATTTTCATCCCATTGATAATTTTATTACTACATCTTTAAATATAGAAACCCCATCTATTGAGTCCATCCTAGATAAAACAAACTCTTCTACTTTTGAAACTAAATCAGAAGTTACTATTGCGCCTCTGCCAGATGGATTGAAATGTTGTACCCCTAATTTTGGTATCAAAAAATGCATACCAGTTCTATAGAGAAGAACGTCCCTAGTGCCATATCATCGGATACATGGAGAAGTTATTATACAAAGAAAGATGACGACAGGACGAGTAAAATTATAAAAAGGAGGGATGAGGAGAGGTCAAAGGAGTATTAAAGAGAAAAATCAAACAGACTCGGAAATAAAAACGTCTTGAAGAAAAAAGCAGATGAAGGTTCTGTTTCCAAAGCTCCCAAACAAATGAATCACCAAATGCAATCAATGACTAACAATAAGAAAAACATTTACTCTGTTGCCTGTGAAAAAATATTCGACAGCAGTAGTAGCAATGACGAAAATAAAAGCATTGGATACGATTACTGTCTCCAATTGGTATCATTCTGGTTGCACTGAATTTATTAGCATTCCATATGAAGGACCAGCCAATAAAGACTATAAATGGCATTCATGTTAATTCACGAATAAATGTGTACCGTTCCACACGTGATATGCTAGAGTTGTGGTAAGAATTTGAGGGATGGCTGTCCGACCGTCGATCAAGTTTAGCACCTACATGTGCAACGGAAAGAAAAGAAAGATCATCTTGAAGATTATTATTTTTGCGTAAATAAAACTGCAGGGCTCAATACTAGCAAAAAAAGAAAATAGCATTACATTGAAATAACGTCAGCTCAAAGACCTCAATTACAGCGCCATTGAACGAAGAAACTGAAGATGATACGGACAATAATGACTCTGCAGATCAGGATTTCGTTCTTCCCATTTCATCTGAACCTCATTTGATCAGTCAATTAAATAGCTTGTTAGAGACATAGATTTATCGAAAGCGCAAACTCACATCTCAAGCAATGGAATCTCTTAGCAAAAGCCGCAAAGGTTGCCGTTTTTCAAAACCCCCACAGTGGCCTCGTAAAGTTTTTCAGTATTTATGGTGATTTAGTTTATTGTAACAACATCGGTACCCTATATGAAGCTTTTGGTGTTAAACACTATCCACAAGCTTAGAAATTATTCATAGATTCCTCTATAAAAGTGGTCTAAAAACAGTATTGTTAGACAACGGCAAAAAATACCCTTACATTCCTCTCCGTCATGCAGTTTCTTTGAAAGAAACCTACGAAAATTTGAGGTTTGTACTTGAAAAGATAAAGTATGAAAAATATCCATGGAAATTTGTGCTTATTCTAAAGTTATTGCTATACTTTTGGGTATGCAACAGGGTTACACGAAATATTGTTGCCTTTTGTGCCTTTAGAATAGTCGTGATAAACAAAATCATTACATCAGAAAAGTAAAGCCACCACGGAAAAGTTTCATTCCAGGATCAGTAAACATACTTAATCCAGCATTAGTTGAAGAACAAAGCATTACTGTGCCATCTTTGTATTTAAAATTAGGAACCAGAAAAAACTTTACAAAAACTAAACCGCGAAAGTGATAAAAGTGACGACATATTAAAGGAAAGTTTCCAAAAATTACAGCTGCAAAATTAAAGGAAAGGATTTTTATAGGCTCTCAAATAAGTGAGTTGATTAAGGACAATACATTTAATACCAAATTAAATAAGAAAGAGAGTAAAGGCTTGGATATACATGGTACACGTTTTTACTAATTTTCTTGGAAATATGAGAGCCAATAGATTCAAGCCGTAAAATTTCCGTAAAAATACATATTTTGGATTCGGATTTAAATTTTACCCACAAAATATGAGAGACGTTAGCGATGAGCACGGAGTGCGTTTCTACCAGCAAATCGCGAGCATGGAACGGCGATATCAAGGATAGTGGAACCGCGTTGGACATTAAGAAGAGAAGCTGTAGATCTCAATTTTAAAAGAAAATATAGTACAATTGAACTATTATCTCACGATCTGTCGAAACCGTTCAGCAGCGACCATAAAATAACAGACCCAAATTACATTTTGGAAGATTCCTCCCAACACTAACAGTTTGTTGAGTGAATGGGACGAACAGTTGGTCAAAGACATATATGATTTTCCGGTACAGAATGTAAATGATTGTGAACAAGGTACAGCCCATAATGACTTGCAGGTATTATATCGCGAATAATGGAAGGACGAAGTAGCGGAAATTCCAAACTTCAATTTAGATGCAACATGTGTTAGTTTATGGCTTTTACAAGAAGGCATCCCAAAGCCTTTATTATATTTATAGGTAGCCATAAGAGTCGAATGTCACTCACCCTCGACGAATTTTGCGATTCAAATGGAATCATTCTTGCACTACTATCCAATGTCGCTTGACATAAAACAGATAAAAAGTGGATTCCGCAAATGTTGAATTTTTCTCTTAAATTCCAACCAAACTTTTCAAAAGGTGTGAGAAATACAATGCAACCCAATCCTTAATCTTAAAAGCCTTAGAAATTGCTAAAAACGTACTCCGTAAAATTGAAACAAGATTGTATTCTTATGGTATTAACGTTGAAGTGATCTACAACGAAATAAACAAACTGACAGCGAGACAAGAAAGAATTACAGTAGGTACTATTATTCCTTTAGGCTGTTTAGCAACCATCCTAATCTAGGATATCAAACTCAATGAGGAAGATGGATTTCGTCACGAAGTGATAGATGAGCAAGTGGAAGATCTGAATAACCTATGGGGCATTCAGTTTCTTTAGACCATCTCAAAAACAAATCTGAAAGACAACAAATAACGAAAGAAAAAAAAAAACATGATCCAAGTAAAAAATATTAGAACAGATATGTGAACCATTGCAAGATGAAGAAGACGAATGTGAAAGCAAAGAAACTATAAAGACAACTTTTTATTTTTCTTTAAGGCACGCCGAGTGCAGGCATAATTGTGGCATTAAATTATAGTTGGCTAACCAAGGGCAATTTTACACCTTTTTAAAATAAAGAAACATTAAATCGAGAGGTCAAAAATTTATGTCTGTTAATGATTTATGTTGTTAAAAGTATTTCACAACTTTTAAAGCATTTTCATACCAGCTAATAAGTATTTTTAATATGTATATAAAATTCACGCAGCCTCTAGATGGCTAAATGAAGAAAAATTAAAGGAATAAATACCACATACAATTATTAATCAGCCTGAAAGTAAAATCCACAAGAAAAGACAAAACAATAGTTAATTTACCACCTAGTGCACACTGTATACAGTACTTTCCATCAGCAAAACTAAATTGGAAATCCTTGGTAGATTAGTTTACCAGGATCTCCTTTATTAATTGTGTCTCTTAAGGTACAAGAAAATGATAATAGAGGAATCATTCAAAGTAGCAGATCATTTATACACTTCATGGTTCATTACCATGTACTTAGTGTAACCAAATTTTTGAAATATAATACTACTGTATGCACTTCTGCTATTTCATTTCAATTGAGAATTACCATCAACTTCCAAGTCTACTATCTCAGAAAATCAAAGCAGCAATGCAAATATGATTAAAACATTAAGCATTGTCTAATAATCACACTCTGGTTAATAGACTCACTCTTGGTTTACTAGTTTACCAAGAGCCTTAAAAACACAGGCTAAAAAATAGAGGATTGTATAAATGTCACAAAAACAGAGAGCACTTCAAACAAAGATGCACTTTAAAATAAATAAAATGTAGGTAATTGCTGTGAGACACCAAAACATTATATCTCTGCTGTTACGATTCTAGCACTTTGTTTCACCCATTTAAAAAAATAAAAATGTAAATGAAAATATAGATAATGCGCCATACACTTATCAAATAAATTATTTGCATGTTTTTACAACACACCTCACAACTTAAACTTCTTATAGCTGCCTGCTTTAGTAGGAATGCCAGATCTTGTTGCAAGGGCACACGTGTTGTAACATACATTTTACCATTTTCACGGCAAATTAACGCTTGATTAGCATTAATAGAAAAACATGCATCACAAGATGCTGAAAGATTCTGTGATGACTGATTTGGTTCCTGCTTAAACCTTTGGGTACACAGTATTACACAAGGGCCGTGAGTTTCGCAAAAATGGCACAAAGCTAATATGCCTTCCATTGATAACTTTTTCGCACAATTTTCTTTACACAACCTGCACGTATTGATTCCAACAAATCACGTGCACATTACATTATTGTCTATGTAAAACAATAAACGGCCATTAAACGGCTAATGGCAAATGAACTTTATCGATACAACCACGCCACACCAATCTTCTTTTTGTTGATTTCATAGATAAGGTTGATTTGTTACTGTCGTCACTCAAAGTATCTAAGTTACACGCGCGGCTACTATACCTTTTAATTAAAACGACGCTAACATTTTATTCCATGCACACATTTTTTTAACATCTTCATTTTTTCGCTTTACTGCAGCAATTTACCATTTGAAAAAATAGTAACATATACCCACAAACATTTTCTATAGATAACATATAAGAACCATAGATAAGAAGTCAAATCCTCATATGTAATAAGTCATGTGAATCTGGCACCCGATATAAATAATCCTGTAATTTAAATTTTACCAACAAATTGTGCGTCGTTTGCGAGTTCTAAATATGTAAGTATAACAATGGTGCATTTATTAATTCTGTTACAAATAAGAAAATTGTTTCGGCTTAGAAATAAAATGTCAATTGTTCAAAAACTACTTAAAATATAATAATTTGATTGGGTGCCATTTGTGCTTGAAGGCTGATCTAATATGTAAAGCAGAATTTATCTTTATATTATTTATTAATAATAATTGCATAAAATACATAGATAAATACTACTATATTTCATTGATATGACTAATAAGTGTGCGCCATGATTCACCCATAGATAATAATATGAACATAGTAATGCCATTATAATAAATAATATAGAAATAAACTGCGCTTACCATAATAGTTCAATCTTCAGACACAAATGACACTCAATCAATTGAATCAATTAAATTATCATATCATCAGCAGTTTTTGAGTAAATTGACATTCAATTTCCACCTATACTCGAAAAAGTTTTCCTTTTCTTAAGAGAACCAATAGACACCCAATTATGATACTTACATATTTAGAACCCGCAAACGACGCTCAATTTATTGGTAAAATTTGAATCAGTGCATTATTTATACCGGGTGCCGGTTTCACACGACTGCCCTTACATCTATGGCCCTTACCATGTAATTTTTTTTTGTTTTATACTTCGGCGTCTATTAGTTTATTTCCAAGTTCCAGTGTGGTCCAACAGAGGGCGAATGATAATAGCCATATGTTAGCTATCATAGATAATAGATAGCATAGCCATGTTGCCACTTCTCCCTGCATCATCTCCTGTGACAACTGCTCAATTATTATTAATTACTGTCAAATATAGTGAAATTATCTAACCTGGAAGCAGAAACGTATTTATTGTATTTCTAAACAGAAATTCCCAATTTACTTAGTTTGCTTACTACAAAATTGCAAAATGCAAGCCACACGGCTCCTGTAAATAAAATGGCCAATAATGGAAGTACTTCTTCGAAAATAGTAGAGAAGCATTTACATTATGATGAAATAGCTTCAAAACTGCTAGAAGACAGATTTTTATTAACAGCTCTTGAATTGCACACTGAACTATTAGAGTCAGGAAGAGAATTAAAGAAATTGCGTGATTTTTTTTCGAATCCTGGTAATTTTGAACATCAACAAGAAACTTCATCTTTGACATGTATGTATGTTTACTATATTGATATCGTTTTATCATGTTGATATCCTTAATTTTAGCACGTTCTGGCAGTCAGGTAACATTAGATAGTTTAGATCTGACGAGGTTTTCAGAAGATGATGAAAAGCAATATGATGATAAAGTAGCTGTTTTAGAATTTGAATTAAGAAAAGCAAAAGAAACCATTAATGCATTAAGGAATAATTTAACTGTTGCAATAGGTTTGTTTGTTTGTTACAATTGTAATTAAGTGGCATATAAACCATAAATTTTGTTTAATACATATTACTATTGAAGTCATCTAAATTATATTATGTGATTACAGAATCTGAACAAAGAAAACCAGATAAGAAAGATTCCAATTTTACAAAATCAGAAGAAATAAAGCCACATGAACAACGAGCATTAAATTTTCTAATAAATGAGTATTTGTTGCAATATGGATACAAGCTAACTTCTATTACTTTTGCTGATGAGAATGAAAACCAGGTATGTAAATTTAGCTGACGGTGTGAAAAAACCTAAATGTGTTTTTTTCTGTTATCTTATTTTTCAAAATTAGTATGTGGAGACAATCCCACAATGTAAATTGCATTTAATTCCAAAAATGTAGAAGTTTATTTTTTCATTACTACTAATTAGATATTTTGTAAACAATTGTAGGATTTTGATGATTGGGACGATGTAGGTTTAAATACAGCAAAACCAGCTGAACTGCTTGCAGTTTATAGAAAGGGTTTAAGGCAGACTACTTCTAGCATCAACTCTATTGCAACTCAAACTGATGAAGTTAATTCTAAAGAAGAATTTAACAAAATTATTAATAAATTGGTAAGTAAAGAGAAAATGAGAATGTATGTTTTTTTTACAATAAATGCAAGCTGCTGTTTTAACAATTGGAATTGAACACTAACCATTATTAGTTTTGAACTTTTCCAAGTAGCAAAATACATTACCAGGTATCATAATAAAAAGTTAAACTTTATATCAGTAGCCCTTGATAATTTTGGAGAGGGAAAATTTGTTAATTTTGATTTAAGTAACTGCTAACCATCATTTAAAGATTATTATTTATTTATTTATATATTGATAAACTATCAAATAAATTTAACTTTTGACTTTTATTGACTCTAGAACGAAATTGTTATTGTTACAAATTTTTGTGTACCTATTCTGTGTTTGCTATTTATTAATAATAGTTTTAAAATATATCATTGTTATTATAGAGAGAAGAAGTTTCTGAATCCAATAACAAAATTGAAATATTAAATTATGAAATTCAACAACTGAAAGAAGAAAACAATAATTTACAAAAGAAAAAAGATTCATTGAAGACTGGTAGTAGTTTAGATTGTTGTTTGGATTTCAAAGAACATGCAAATTCTTCTGAAAATTATGCTATAATCGAAAAAGAATTGACAAATGCTAGTAGTTCGCCCGAGCATTTTGAAATAATAGAAAACACCGACGATTCCCAATGCAGTAACAAAGGTAGATTATTTTATTATTTCATTAATCTAATAATAAAAGTATTGGTTAAACGACGCAGCTGAAAGTATAACAGAAATAATTATGTATGACAATAGTATTAAAATTGCTTACTTAATTCTTTGTAAAAATAAGAAAGTAAGAATCTGAAGGGTTTTTATTAAACAAAACTTCAAGGGTTGCTTCCCAGGGTTACTAAGAATACTTTGAGGAATTTTGGAATGCCGCTCTAATTCGAAGATACTGAACGATCAGTGTAAAGTATTCTTACAATAATCCAGTGAATAATTCCTTCAAGTTTTACCATGTGTTTAATAAATACATCTTGTATTTCAATCCCGAAAGTCCAAACATTGGTAAAAAAAATTAAAATCTTATAAGTAGTACTTTCGGCGATTACCTCCTACATTCAAACGGACAAACTTTACCTCTTTATAATATCAGTAAGATTCCATTATGAAGTTTTAAAAAGTAACGTCTACAACTATTAGTAATTGAAAATAGTCATGTCACAGTACGTATTTAAAACAATTAAGTTTCATATGCTTGAAAGATTAGATATAATAATGTCAATGCCGTCTGTAGGGAGTACCCAGACCTCGTCTTCATGAGACTAATTTTTTTTATTAAACAAATTCAAATAATACGGAAAATTAAACACTAAGCAAGTACTAAAAACTAATTGATAAAAGTAATTATAACATAATAAAATAAAAAGAAATAACACTACTTTAAAATAAATTGTAAAATTTGTTTAATATGAAAAGTCATCTGTTTTGTACCTTGTACCATGGCGAATAATCTGATGTTTTTTAAGTTTTCTATGACCACTTGAAAGAGAGATATACGCGAAATTATATACGACATACTTTTCATTTTATATTTATAAGTGAGGTGTAAAAATAATATAAAATTTAATAATGTTTTATTGAAATTCATTTAAACAAATATTTTAATGTAGATACTAAGCGGCGTAACCACTAACGGCAGGATTGGACATTAAAATAGTTTCATAAGGCCACTATATTTTAGTAATTGTTAGTATAGAAAAACCTGGTGGAATAAGTTTATTCAACAATTTCGAAAGCTCCCGTTTCCTATACTTTAAGGAAATATTAATAATCTTGGTGCCATTCATTTTTATTTTTATAATTATGAGGTAAATCGCTCAACAAACACTCGTGATTGCTTCAGCTTCGGGGTAGTTACAATATTCTTGTCACTTCTTATATTTTGAAGAAATTATTTGAGGCATTTTTTTAAGGCATAATTTCAGACCTCACTTCACTTAAAGCCAGCACTGCATAAGGCTCACACTGTAAAGTGCTTAAGAGTTTTCCCAAATTTTTGCGAGAATTGTAAATTGCAGCCGTCATTTCTTTCACAAAATTTAATAATTTATTAAAAAAACAGCTTTACGGTTTAGTTGGAAGTCCGGCAAAAATAAACGTTATACTTTAAACGATAAATTTTCGTACGAAAAAATAAAATCTAATTCTCAAAACAATTAAATTGTTAACGCAGATAACTATCCTGCATCACTGGATAAGGTGTCAAATAACGGTAGTAATGAAACTGATTGGACAAATATCAGTTTAAATAAGGAGGATTGTGCAAATATTAATTTAGATGAACACAAGAACTTCAAAATTGAAGGGAATAAACAAGAAATTGTTGACCTAGATCTAACCGACTGTGATATTTTGAACAGGTAATATGTTTTACTCTCATTTTGTCCTTGTATTTTATTGAATTAAAAGAATTTTAATATAGTAATCTGTCACCAGTGACCGTTTAATATAAAGGAATGTTCTATGACAACAATGTCCTATGTAACTAACCACTGATGGTAAAATATTCCATTTTATGAAACGGCCACTAGTGGGACTTACATTAAAATATGTATCAAAATTAACGTATATTTTTAATTTTAAATAGTTTATTATATTTTTTGTTATGACATTCCGCGGAAGCATTTTACCTTTGGTTGAAGGCTTCTTCAGGGTACTGATTAGTGTCTTTAAAAATAGTTAGTATAGAACGTTTTCAATACTATTAGGATAAAGTCTTCTAAAAGCAATTAATATTAGTGTACCTATCGTAACTGATGTCTAATGCTTATCAATCGTCTTCAGATTTTCTAAAATATCTCGGTTTTTTATGTTTATGATTTTGACTTATTAAAGGTGATGTTTAATTCAACTAAAGTTCATAGTAAGTGTATCTCCTCTTTTTGATATATTATAACGTAGTAAGTAAAATTTTGAACTGGAAAAATCATTCATTTGTATAATTTTGATTTTAACTAGGAAATTACCTCAAAAGTTTAAAGATGAACTTTTCTCGAAATGTTATAAAAATATCCCAAAAGACATTAAAGGAAGTTTGTGTGAAAATATCCCAAAAGGCGAAATTTCAAAAAAAGTATTAATAGATATAATTTGCGAATCTCTGTTACGAATAATTCCAAATGTTATTCTCAACAAAAGAGAAGAAATTATCCCATTATTGGTTGTGATAGTACTATTAAGTAACAATAGTTCTGAAAGAGATAAACTTCTTCAGCAACTGTTTAATCTCAAGAAGAAACCGTCAGAAGAAGAGAGATTATCTATTTTATCTGGTAAGAATATTTTTTTGTTATCACTTCTACATAAAATAAAAATGTGTATACAGTAGAACCTCGACAATTCAAATCTTCATAAAGTAAAAAATCCTCTATAATTAATTTTAACTTGTCGAAATTCTACTGTATACCGGAAAGAGATTAATCTTGTTTTTTCATATGAAAGGGATAACAGCGATTGCAGAACGTTCAGGGCAAAACTTGGTTCAAAATGAAATGTTGCCTCAATGTTGGGAACAGTTAACCCATAAATATCTGGAGAGGCGCCTACTTGTCGCAGAGTCCTGTAATGTGTTAATTCCATACATTTCTGTAAGTATCAAAGCAATAGTTTCTTACTCAATAAGATTGTTATGTTATGCTCAAAATTTCATCAGAGTCCAATTCGAAACTCACTTGTTCTATCAATGATACAACAAATGTTAGAGGATCGAGAAGACGGTGTAAGAGAAGTGGCATTACAAACGCTTGCTCTGGTGATTGCACATTGTAATGACCCTGATAAATATTATCAATGTGAACAACTTACTCTAGCAACCTTGAACGACGCAAATGTTATCATATTTAATAAAAGCATACAGTATCTCTTTCCTTCTTTAGCTCAGTGGGCTACAGATTTAGGTAACAACTTCTTTTTTCTTTTAGTTACTGATCTTTTTTTTAATGAGGTATTCTTATTTCGATTACCAAATATCAATGTTTCAGGTAAATTAGAAAGTAGTTTAATAAAACAAATTTTGCACAAACTTAATAAGCACATAAAGGATTCCACCTCTGAAAGTGAAGACATTACTGATTTATCAATGAGACTTATATCAGTATTAGATCATCTATTGCCTTTCATACTTGTAGAAATAGTAAATAGATCTGATTTAGCAGAAAATTCTGATAAAAACATGACGATGGAAATGAGTAAGTCGTAGTCTTCGAAATAAATTATAAAATTAAGTGAATTTATTGAAAGTTTATTATTGTAGGATCAGAACTTACCAAACTGTGTACAACATTATCTAACCCATTAAACTTTTATTCCGGTGATTTTAATATTGGAGTCATCCTAAATGATTTTGACAAATTAATAGAAAATAATACTTCGATTACTTGGAAACAATTGGAATGGTTTTTAGATAACATGTAAAACAAATTGAATTTCTAAATATTGAAATAATAATTACTTTTTTTGTAGGTTGCCTGATTTGCTCAATATGGTTTCTCACGTTCAAACATCAAACCATAAATTGTTACATAGTTTTATAAGTCTTTTTTTACATATAAGCATGACGTTCGGTAAACCCTTTACTTTGCGTAAAATTCGTCCTATTTTCGACAGTCACATTTATAACCTTGAAGCTATTCTCTCTAGTCACAACCACGGTTATGCTGGAATAGGAATTATTCCAGTGTACCTGGTTTCTGTTTTAAGTTATTGTGATGATACCGAAGAACTTAGTAATGTATTAAAAAGGTGCGTTGGTTATCTAGTTTATAACTTGCTACTTTTTTTTTTTTTTTTAATTTAAAATGTGCAAAACCGTATTCATTTTTAACTTTTTAAGCAGCTCTTAAAATAGAATGGCCCATTTTTTATTATAAAATGATATTGTATTGTAGTACTTATTGTTGTACCTTTCTTTCTTTGGATGTTAAAATGTATTAATTGAAATGCATTCCCATAGGTTTATATGCGCTCTTCCACTTTGTGGAGTGCCGTTAGATTGTTTGGAAATAGCAGTAAAAGGTTTATGTCATTTGGGAATGCAAGACCTAGTAGCAAGTTGTCTTTGGGAAGGAATTGTACATCAGCGACCACTTGTAAGGGCTGCAATGGCAGGACTATTAACTGTTGTTGCCGGAGAATGTGGCCACACTTTACTTTTGTCCAAAGTTGTACCCGCTGTAGTCACCTTAGCTAATGATTCAGAGGTGTGAGTATCTTTAAAAATGATTTCATTTAAAACAATTTGTACACTATTAAATGTAGAATACAACATTCTCTTGCCACTGAGAAGTTACGCCATGCGCATATATTACACGAAAGAAATTTCTATCTAAGTGGGCGAAGTAGCAAGAATCAGCTAGTAAATTATAAAATAAGTGTCAGTATAAAAATATACGGGGAGGATAGGACATAAAAAAGATTATAATAAATAAAGCATATCTAATTGAGGGTTGGATAATAAATAAAAATTTTTAAACAAATCATATGATACAGAACGCGGTAAATATTATAATGCCGTCTTTAAAGATTATTTAGACCTTGTTTATATTTCTAAAAAAAAGAAGTATTGAGTCATATTAGTCATACGATATTGCAAAATAATGGACGAATGGATCACATCGTTTATCTTCAATTTGGATAGGATACATAATATATTAATGTAATTCTATTTTGTCTAATTGCGCTAGTATATTTGTTATGGTTAATTTGCATTACATACGTTTTCATCGCCCGTAATAAGTTTTGGTTTTTAAGTTATTTAATAACAGTAAACCTTCATTTGCAACTTTGATTAATTATCGCGTTTCTCATAAAACTTAATATAATGAGGGATAATATCTTCAGAATAGTATATTTATCGGTATTCATATACAGATTTTCTAAAAATTTCATACACTTCATCAAATCAATTGATTTACAGGTTTGTAAAAACAGCAACAATTCCCACTTTAGGAAGTTTGATAGCAGATTGTTCTGTGGCAGAGGTTCGAGATAAAGCCTGCATGCAACTTCACACTTTCTTGTTAGACCAAAAACTAAAGGAAAATCATTCTTTCATTAGACAACTTGTTGTTACCTTAGGGTCAATTGCAGATAAATGTTCACCGTCGTTCAGAGATGACAGTAAGTATATATTCAAGATAATTGTTTAATTTTTTCTTATTGTAAATAGACCTGCAAGTTTTTTTAAAATAATTATTTTCAGTAATACTTAATCATTTAATGTCTTTATCGGCATATACGGCACAAATGCCAAACGTTAGCAGAAAAGTTGACATGGTCTTGGCGCTTTTAGATGCATTTAGTAGTGTAGCATGTATGCCTCTCAACAAGCAAATAATTTCGACAACGCTTCTCCCAGGATTAAGGTAATTTTTATTTCTACAATAGGGATCATTCATAAAATACGTTCGCAATTAAGAGGAAGAAAAGGGTATTGCTTAGCATAACGAAATATGACAGAGGGAGGTCTATGAAAATGTGACGTTTCGCAGTTCATCAATTTTTAATGTTTTTTTTTAATTTAGCACTTCTTAACCATTACGATAAAAAGTCATTCTCATTGCTATTTTTACTTATAAGTAATCGTTTAGATTTAGAGGAAAGTAGGCGGGCTTTTGTGACGTAATATACGTTAGTGGGGTTCGCTTGAAAGTGTGATTTACCGTGACGAAGGGGAATGGACCTCCCTCTAAAAAAGTGAAATTCTGAACGGCGTATTTTATGGAAGACTCCTTAGGTACAATACTTATTTATTTGTTTTTTAAATTATAATTCCATTTCGTTATCATAATTAATCATGAAAACTGAAAACAATGTACCATGGGTTTCGTACCAAAAAGAAAAGTTAAACTCTTATGTAGTAAGTCGAGTCCCTCTGTTTTTTATTTGGTTTACGGTGTACCCCTAACACTGATAAGGTCAAGGCTGATCAAGCACTACCTCTTATTTGCATATTTTTTCAACTCAGCTGTGGATTTGGAAAAAATCGTCTTGTGTAATTGCCGATATTCTAGGACTAACAATAATGGTTGTGGCTGGGCGTTGATTTAAAACTTGTCAGCTACCTTTATACATACACATTTATAGGCAGCGTAATATGTTAAAAAGTTACCTTTTAATTTTTCTGGATATGTAGTACACCATTGAAAGGACTAATTTTAAAAGGTTCAAATATATTATACAATATACACGAATATATAACAGGTTTATACAATTTTTAAATCAAATCTCCAAACATTCCGGAATGTGTGTCAAAAGCATGCTTCCCCATCTTTACAAGAAAAGCAGATTTAATAGTTTTTAATTTCCTATTATCAACAGCATTTTATTGTTGCAGCAGTAAGAAAAATTGATGGTACGGAACCCTCTGTACGAAATTCAAACTCGCACTTGACCTTTTTTGTACTATAAAATTAAGTTTTCTATACACTTAACAATAATTAAACATTTTTTATTATCCGTAATTGTGTAAATGATTGTGAATAGGATCTTAGGTACTATTTTTTAAGTATTATTGAATTTTCAGAAATTTAGAAACTGTGATATTGGAAAACCAGCCGTTGTTACCTCACAAAAATACCATTTTATCTCTAATTCAAGAAACGGAAAATCGAGGAGATCAAAATTTATTTCAATCTTACTCTGAAAAGGGTAACTTTCATTCTCAAAATGTGAGTCAAGGTGTTGAAGAAATGAAGAATAAAATGAGTAAAGTGTTTACTAAATCGCCGTCAACAAATTTTCAAAATATATTTAAGAAGAAGTGAAACAGTGGCGGTTTCTCTTAATGATAAACTTCTGGAAACTGTTAAGAATAATAGGAGCAAAGTGCCTTCAGAATTTATAAGCTTAATGCATTTATAAAAATTATTAATAGTTTTACGAGCAGGTTTTTCAGATGCAACATAATTATTTATTACGTTGAAAGTATTATTTTCTAAATAATATTTTTTATTGATTTTCTAACAATGTTCCATTTTATTGTGTTAGTGAATTAATTTTTGAATGAATTTTACCCACTACAGAGAACTTCAAATTAATGAGGAAAAAAGTAAAAGGTATCTTATTTTCATTTTGTTGTTATATTTCAAAAATATTCCTATTTATTGTGGTACATTAATAGTAATACAGTATTGTTTGTTGAATATTTAAAAAAGGTTTGCATAGTAAAACAGTAGTTTGCAGGTATTAATAGGATGTGACGAATTAAAATATTTTTGCCAAATATAAAAGCACAATAACTTATATCTACTATGATGCCCATTATATGATAAGTAATAATTATTTTTTGACTACGAATAACTTACTTTTGTGATTTTTAAGTAGGAATCGAATAACGCAGCTAACGTTTGTAGTTATACCTATGAAAGCTTAAAAATATATGAGGGATTTAGGAAAGGAGACTATCGAAATAGCCTGCAAAGAGGAAGTGAGCTATAAAATGCAGGAATAGCAATAACAATGTATTTAATGAATAAGTAAAGGTCTACAATAATGATGATGTCGATGAACAGCAGAAATGACGATCTGACTGCCCTGCAAATTCTACAAACAGAATGTATGAGATACTAGTGTAAACTGATCGAATGTCTCGTGATAGACATACATTCACCATTCATACCACAATTAAGCGTTTCCCCACATATTGCCTTAATATCAGTCAATTTAGGTAGAGCATCTCTTTGAACGTTAAATCGTATTTTAATCTATAAAGCATCAGTTTAAAATGTTGTTCAATCTATTACAGAGTGGTACATATCCTTCTGACTACTCCATCTAGTAATATTGGTAGTCTCCTTTATGAAACCGTTCGAAACAAAAATCGGAGGACACAAATGTTTAAAAAAAATAAAGAAATAATAGTAGAATCTTGCAACTCTAACAATTTTAAGCACTAATAATAAATCTGTGTCGGTATCTTAACAAAATATTTCACGTTTTTTTTTTCAATAATTGGCAAAAATGTGCTTGCAAAAGAATAATTCTGAAAGGCATAGAAAAAATTGACAAAGATAAGAAATCTAAATTTAGTTTTTAGTCTCGGTGTACCTTTTCGTATTTTGTTTCAGTTTCCGGCCTTTGGCATTTTTAATTTTTTAAAGCCGCAAGGGTTGTCAACCAACTAAAACCATATAAAGGATGTGCAAATAGCTAACGTTTATAGTATTAACAGTAAGGATTGTCTTTACTGTTTGTGTGTGAAAATGAGCTAAAAGAAAATGTTTGACCTTATTTGAACTTAAATTACTACTTTATTTATCAATTTTTAAATGGTTTTCTATAGTATTATTTTACCCTTTTGAAAAATTGCAATTGTAAACTACAGCAGAGTGAATACATTATCATCGTAATAATATAAGTAAAAATAATTTAACTTTCTATACGTTTTATAAATTAGTAATTTTTAGAGAAAAAACTGAACAAAAACGTGCTGATATTACGTTATTAGTTTTAAAAAATGCTTATTAAAGGTACAAACCTAAATAGAATGTTAATGACAATAATTATTTCTTTGTTTTTTTCAAATACATGGAATGTCTTTTTTAGAATAAGTTTTTTAATTTTAGATAGAAAAGCGATTGAAATGTTTTAATCAAATTATGGCATTATTAAAACATCTTGTTTACTTTTTAAAAATGCGTCTATAAATTCTCTAGGTATTTTTATAACGTCTTAATTAAGTGACAAAAATTTCTAATCACGAAGTAAATGTACACAAGTGATCTGTTTTTCATATTTACTAAAATTTATTATGATAGATATTTGTTATTGTATACTTACAAAACCTGAAGATTTTTTTGATAGATATTTTTCTTTTTAATGTTTTTATATATTTTTTATTATTTATGGATTTGTTTGCGTAAGAAAATATATGTATATCTGATCTGTTTGTGTTGTAGATTATAATTAATTAAATCCAAAATATACACTGGATAATCAGTATTCCAGAATATGAAAGGTAACATCTGGAGGCAGTGTAAAGTGAATCTTGTGGTACCGCCATAATGTAGGGAGTGCAAAGAGTATGGGGTTAACAAGTCGTCAGTGATTAAGAACAGTTGCCAGCTTGGCACATCAGACAAGATAATTGCAACGATTATTAGTAGTAGCCTGCACTCGGTAGTTACTATTCGATTGGCAAAGTTACTATTAGCACAAAAATTAGTTGACTATTCGCACGCATGAAGTGGGCGGCCCTGGGCATATAGCGTCTGTAGAAATTGATCATGCCCAAGAAAAGTCGGAGCTCGGAGGAGTTGTCTGACGTCAGGAAGTACCGAATGTACTGTACCTTGTGCGCTAGTGGACAGACGACAGAGGCTAAGTAACCGAGTTTGATTACTTACTCCTGACCGAGGAAGCATTTCTGTGGGTTCATTTCTCACGAAGCACTTTCACTACTTATCTCAACGAGTCGTATCCTAGCAGGGTTGCTACTTTGGGGATTGTCGCGGGTGAACCAATTCCCGGCGCCAAAGGATGACGGAGATAGCATACCAGGTCGTTGAATAAAAAGTCGGAGTTGATATAGAAAAAAAAATACAACGTTTAATTACACAAAACGCTACTGAAATGAAACTTCTTCAAACACACAAACATACAGGGTTGGGGATTAAGGAATTGGTTTAATGGTATTATTTGTACACTATGAATTTAAATTTTACACCATACATTCCGGAGTTGCCCGTAACGAACGTTGCATTGAAGCGCGCTCACGGCTCAAGCGATCCCCGCTACGAACTCGACTACGTGGCCGAGTAGAGGGGGGACATCCGTTGCATGATTTCGTTACATATCAACTCACATAAAACGAACTTGCCCTACTGTGCGTAAAGAAGTTTTACTTGAAAAACAGTAATTTATTCTATTATTATATCTAATTTTTAATTTTTTTAGGGTCCTTAGCTTATCTATGTTCTTGTCTATACTATGGTCTCTAGTCTCCTTTTATATTTGTTATTGAATCGGCATATCAATGACTAATGCGTAAACGTCTATGGTTAACGCCGTCACGCGTATAACATGCGTATAACCTCAAACTTCAATGCACGTCAACGGAATGAAGATTCATAGTCTACAGATTTATGACTTAGTTAAGTGTGAAAGTTTGTCTAATTTTTTATTAATAAATGTAAGACAAACGTAACATAAAATAATAAAAATTAAAAAAAATCCTGGGGAGGCTAACTTATCGGACCTTTCAGAGAAATTATCTCTACTGTATGATCTGTAATATAATCTGTGACTATAATCAACATAGTATTTAAATATTTAAGTGACTCCATGTGACCGCTTAACCAAAAATGACTTTCGAAATTGTCGCTGGTACATATGAGCAATTCTTATTGGGTTATAACTTCCAAAGCAAGGTACATGTATATCTAAACATGTGTGCAATATAAAAATTACACAGCTTATTTTCAGTGTGGTGAATTAAAACAAAGTTTTGCTGTAAGAAGTCACACAGGAAGTATAAAATGCGTTCATACGTTGAATCGATTTGTAGCATCTGGTGGAACAGATGACAGAATTTTTATATATGACCTTATATCAAGAAAAGAGCATTGTATGCTTACTCAACATGTTTCTTCAGTAACATGTGTGAAATTTACTCCTGACAGAAGTCACATTATTAGTGGTTCTGCTGATGGTACATTAGCTATTGTCCGTGTTGGCAACTGGCAGTTAGAGAAACTCTGGGAAAAAGCTCATAAAGGAGCTATTGTTAATATAGCAATTCATTCCAGTGGCAAATTAGCTCTAACCCTTGGTTCAGACCACACGTTACAAACATGGAACCTTATCAAAGGAAGACAAGCATATGTCATTAATCTAAGTAACAAAAGTAAAGACCCTTCAAGTTTAGAACATATTATGTGGTCTCCGTGTGGCAGTAAGTTCTTACTAGGAGGAGGTTATTATACAGAAATTTGGAGTATAGAAAAAGGTAACACTTCTCAAACAAAGCATATCTCTAATAGATAAAAAAACAGAATTTAATGACAAATCTGTGGGGAGAAGACTTCTAGTTTCTATGGTAATATTGAAAAAAATATTCAATCTTGATAGCTTTGATTCGTTCGACCCCTTATTCTAAGTAATGAAGACTAAGTGGGGGAGCAACATTTTTTAAGCATTTCTTGGAATTTATTTAAGAAATATGTCAGGCTCATACTTGGCGTTGATTATGTTTAAAGTTTAGTGACATATAAGTGGTTTTTGGAAAGTTAAAAAGATCAATGTTAAATTTTGCAGGTATATGATAAAATAAAATCAAAACCATAAAACGGAGTACACATAACATGTATTACGTTTTTTTTATAATACGTAATGTAATAAGGACACAGTGAATGTCATTCACTCATGCAAGGTCCATACTTACATATACGATCAAAACTACAGGGTGAAAACTATGAAGTCAGCTTAGTATCCTAAGCATACCCCTGATAATAGTATGATAATGTCCACTCCCCAGTAATAATTTTCGTTATTTAAATAACTTGAAGATACTACTTTTTCAAGCAACATCCTTAAAAATCAGTGAATGTAATTTTCAACTTGAGTGCCTTTAACTTTTCTAAGAAAATCCAGTAATCAATAGACATTAATGTCAGCCATCTTTTTTAGGAGGTATATTAAAAAGCATTAAGCATTCTTTCAAAGTAAGCTGTTGCATCTGGTACAAAAAAAATACATTATTAGTAGGATATGAAAATGGACAGTTGGGAATAACTAATATAGAAACGAGCAAAATAAATGTTATAGAATGTCATAGTAGTCGCTTAAAAAGTATTGCCACAAATTCTAGTTGTATAATAACTGGTAAGTGACATCTATTGCTATTTCCATTTTATTAATTTATAAAATAACATAAGCTTATAACAGTGATAATACATTAAAGCCAGTCTATTATACCAGTTTACACTCAGTCTTCTTCAGAATCTGAAGATGGTGGGTAATCTGGTAAACCTAAAAAGTATTCAAAGAATCTTATATTAAATAAGTAATATTTTCTGAAAGGGTCCAGTGATGGAGTTATTAAAGTTTGGGATAAGGAATTTCAAGAAATTGCCAAATGTAATACAGGGTGTCGAATAACATGCTTGGATATTGCAATACCTCCAACTGGGAAAGAAGATAGTCATGAGAGTGAAAAAGTAGAAATGAAAAGAAGAAAAATAAAGTGATGGAAATGATGAACTATCACATAGTTACTGCTATATCAATGTAATACTAATTATGTTGCACCAAAAAAAAATGGAAGAAAAAATGAACAATTATCCAAAAATAATTCATAATAATCAACATTGTGGTTAAGCTGATTAATTACTGAAAGATTTTTTAATACTGTAATAAATAAAAAAGAAACACTATGCGTTTCATTGATTTATAGATTTTAATCATCATATAATCTTGATAATTTAGAAATAAAGAAGTCAATTGCACCTCATAAAACAAACTATCGAAAAAGAAAAGGTGAAATGATTATATGTATTCCAAGATACTTTATATCAGTTAAATAATTAGCATAGAACATCTTATGAATGCACACATCATTAAAAAATTCATATCACGTTCTTCTAATAATCCTAAAGAAATTGTAGCAAGGATTATCACTTTGTATGACAAGAAAAAGTTTTAAGGGACACTTCCTTTTTTAAGTTATATGATTCATAATAAATGCCATTACTTATATGTTTCTTAAATTTTAATTCTAACAAAACTTACTGAGCCTATTACTCTTTTGCTCTTCTTCAACTTCCTTTAAGTATTTGGTTTGTACTTCGATTACGGATGCACCATCACTGCAAGCTGCATATCTTTTTAACAAATCACCATTTACTTCAAAGAAAGAGTGGCCCCAAGAAAATTTAGATAAATAGTATTCAGAAATGTCAGGAAAACCAGTTATATAAAGTGCAGCAGCAATTGCCTCAGCACAACTTAGTTGACAAGGTTTACCATAATTAATTGGATTTGCAGCGACAAGAAATGGTAGAAGTCTGCCATAAGTTGGACGAAGAGAATTAAGAGGCGTTTCTTTAATTTTGGCCCAAGAACAATCTACAACTGCTATTCCCTTAGTGTCTATAATGTTTTTGTCAGACGGACTTAGACAATGTGCAGCTGTAGGAGTCAAAACAATTCCAGGAAACCTTTGTTTCACTTTAAGTGGCTTTAAAAGCCCAAATCTTGCTAATTTACGTCCAGAACATTTTTTTGCATCACACTGATTAAAATCCCACATTGCAACGGAAAAATGAATTTTTGGCACCGTCTCCTCGTCACTCTCTGTAAAAAATAAATAGTTCAACTAAAACGTAATTTAAGTACAATGTATTACCTTCATCGTTATACTTTAATTCCTCCATTTAACAATATGTAACCAAATAAAAGCAACAATTCTTTATTGTACTTATACCTTTATGATTTAAACATATCACATTGAGTACGTTCCACTAGGCGCAAACTAATTAAATAAATTTATAATAAACTCTATTTAGAAAAAGTAAAACTCATTCGTTTAATGTTATTGTAAATTATTGATATTTTCAAAATATTAAACATAACCTTTTAAAATTATGTCATTTTGTCTTGTCAATCATTGGATGGCAATGACCATAGACATATATTAATGGCGCATAGACATATATAAATGAACGTGCCTTAGCCGTATGTGGTTGTAATAATTTCTTGGATCGAAAAGTGAGGGAGATGGCGTATGGTTTCGGATTAGTGCTATCTCTTTCATGACCCGCTTACGCACTGTCGTGAGAGAGATGGATATTGTCCGAAATTTCGTCCCATCTCTTTCTTTCGTTGTACCACAATTCTGACCGCTAGGGCATGTCCATTAGTAAACGTCGATGGTGGCAGGGCTCTCTACTATTATAAAATCAGGCCAATTTACACCATAGATTGTTTTCACGTTTCATATACAGATTGAATGTTTAAAAATATATTGTAACTTTTTATATTATAAATGCGCTTTTTTTCTCTAAATAAAAAAATTGCCCTCTATTTTCGCAATAACTGAAAGCAATTTGGAGTATTAAAAAAATCATTTTAATCTTATAATCACGTATAATAGCTACTACAGAAAAGAATGAAATCCAACGATGCCATACATCACCGTAAGAAAGTAAACGAAGTGTTCCGAGAATGTAAGCTAATTGTCTTGCTTTCACCTTTTTTTGTCCAACAATAAAATATTTTAAAGTAATTATTACAATTTTCAATGAGTAATGACGAATTGTAACTCATCAATTTTATTTACAGTGCAATATATACAAAACTTACTTAAATAAAAGATGCAGAAAGGTCTAGTCAGGACCTTTACTGAATGTGATATAATTAAACATAGTTTTTAAATTACCTAGAAACTAGCACCAGTATATTTAGGATACCTAACAATATATCACATTAAATAATATCGGCTTACTCTTAAACTACTCTGCTCGTGAGTAAAAATGCTATACCATTACAAAGTTGCTAATATTCGTGTAAAACCTATAGAGGCAGATAGTACAGTCTGACCTACACCCCAAAATAGGGCATATAACGGTTCCATTGGGTAACTTGATGCTCTATACACAAAAGCGATAACTGCACTACTAACAATGCCAGATGTTATAGGTGGTAAAACACCCATTACTAGGATTAGTATTGGAAAATATTTTCCATATTTATGCTTACGTAATGTTAAAAATGCTATTATTGCTGCAGCCTACAACAAAAACACATTAAATAAAATTATTAAGATAGTTGGTATATATATATATGTATATGAACTGAGGAAGAAACTACAATGCAAATACTTAAATCTAGAGTGAAAATTATTATACATGACATTTATAGCTATATTGTAGAAAAATGAGGTTGAACAGTTTTTTTACTTACTGTATGAACAAAAATTGAGGAAAATAGGGCCCATAGAAAAACATGGTACCACATTTTTGTGAAAGTATTGAGTGCATCTTGTCGTAATGAGAAAACAGTAGCAACAGAATCCATGCACATGATTTCACTACAACTAAATACTATGTCAAACTCATGTTTTTTGGTAGGTTACACTTAATTCGTTCATCTTCAATTTGTCGTTTTATTATCTAAAATAGTGTGGTCTTTTAGATAACGTTAAACTTAGTTCACAAATGTTACTTACCTGTAAATAAAGGTAATCTTTTATTAAAACTGGAATACTATCTAATAATTTACATTTTCATTAGTTAATTACTAGAAATGATGAATAAAAACTAATAAAAGTATTAACGCATGTCATAAACATTTTCGTTGTCTTTTCAGTAGCTGATAATATCCGATATGTTTATTTTTTATTGTACATACAAATAAACGTCGAATATTTTGAAACTATATTGTGCAATTCACACAATAATATTATTAGAATTATATGCAATCCTTTTAATAATTGAGACCATTAAAAATACAATTACAGACCGAATTTAAAAGATCATTTTTACTCAAATGATTATGGAGCCATATATTTTAAATCGATAACAAAATAGCATAATTTAAAAAAATAATCAAAGCATAAATATATGTTTTTTGCATTTTCGACGAAGGAGTATGTAATATATATTGTTCGATGTAAAGCTTTTTCATTTGGTATGTAGTCCATACTCCATAGAGCATCTGTTTATAAATAATAAACTATACATTTCGTTTCTGTCAGTTTCAGTCTTTGTATATCTATTAACTATGGTTTACCTAGTCAAGGGTTTCAGTTGAGTTTCAGTCATTTCAGTATTATTCATAGATAGTGGATATACGAAGTGTACTTATTGGAAATGATATTGTTTATCTATGGATATTGTTTTTAGTCGGTTTCAGTGAATTTGCTGGTGATTGCTAATTTTCCTGGTAAATTTGCAGTTAATAAATTGAAGCCCATTAAAATAAGCGATTTATATGTTACGATCAAATTAAGTCCAGCGTAATTTTAAAGGTTTTTATTTAATCGAAGATGTGTTTATTCTTTATTGTCTTTTATTGTAAGGAAGGACAACTTCTGTAAGAATGAACACCGAACATTCAGAAAGTGATACCAGTGATGAGGACTACAATCCTAATGAAGAAAAAACAGAAATAGTATCTGAAGAAGAATCAAATGATGATTCAGAAGGAGCACATAGTGATAATGAAGAAAATCTTAAGAAAGGAAGAAAGAAAGGAAAAAGTAAACCTGCTAGAAAAAGAACTAAGAGAGAGTCAGATGGTAGGGTTTTGTTGTGATTTTATGAAAACGTAGATTGCTATCTTCGCTTTTTTGAAAACTTACCTTTTGTTCTTGGAAATAGTTTAAAATGGCCAATTACCGAAAGCCTACATAAAAATAGAGGGAAGGAGGAGGACCTTTTAAATGTCGGTAAATCATACCTAGCGCCTTATTCCTGTAAATAAGAGGAACAGCTTGATCACAACAACACCTTCGTTAGTGTTGTCTTTTCTTACCATATCCTTATGGTGTGGAATAAAATTTGGGGACATGTTTTGAACAAAATTATTGCATGTGACACTTGTCAGTTGCGTTAAAATCTTACTTAAGTTAAGAATGCTTTCATCTGATTGCTTATTAGTATTAAAGGTTGTGGTAGGAAAAACAACATGAATGAAGTGAATGTTGTCGGTATCATGTTCTTTCATTTGTTTGCAGGAGTATGGACCTAAGTATAATTTTGCAAAGTAGAACAACCCTGATTTTTTCCTGTAAGTTTTTCATAACTGCGCCCTTTTAAGCCATTTCCAAGAAAAAAGTTGTTTTCAGAAAAGCCATTGTATACGATTTTGTAAATTAACAGTAGTATTTATTTTTATAACAGAATTCGATTTCAAAGTTCAATTTACTTTTAAAGATGTTTTTCTAGTTAGATTACTACATTGGGTATTTTATTTTTTCTTATTTGTTTCTTACACATTTTTTTTAGAGGACGAAAATAAGACAATTAAAACTGAAACTCGAAAACCAGAAGATGAGAAAAAGCGAGTGGATGCTCTCTGGGCAGATTTTATGAAAGATACTGGTTTTAAACCTCGCTCAGAACTGCTAAAAAATGAGTCAAAAACAAATACAAGTAGTGAACAACAACAAAAGAAACCTGAACTTAAAAAGGAAGATAAAATTAAAATTACCCAAGTATTCGACTTTGCTGGAGAAGAAATTAAAGTAGAGAAAGAAATTCCAGTAAGTTCAGATGAAGCAAAAGGCTTGGTAAATGAAAATAGCTCTACCTCTACAAATTCTGGTAAAAAAGTGCGAAAAGGTGGTTTGAATTCTGTTCTTGGTCAGATTGGAAAAAAAAGTAAAATAAATACCTTGGATAAAACAAAATTAGACTGGGATCAATATAAAAAAGAGGAAAATATTGAAGAGGAATTGAAAGCTTATAGCAAAAGTAAAGATGGGTAAGTTTTTGTAACAGTATAGTTCTAAATTTTTTTTTCAAAAATGTCATAGGTAAGCATGATTGATTGTCATTGGAGCCACAAGCCTTATTTTTTGTAGCTTGTCAGTTTCTCATTTAATTAACATATAATCAATCACTGTGTCTTCATATCTTATTGACATATTTTTTTCTGGGTCAACCTACCATTAAATTAATAATATATTCTGATTTTAGGTATCTTGAGAGGCAAGATTTTCTACAAAGAGCAGATTTACGACGATTTGAAATTGAAAAAAGTGTTAGAAATTCATTAAGAGCTAATAGATTAAACAATGGCACTTAACTTTGAATAGAATTAAATAAAATAAGAAATAAGGAAAAACGACCATTGGAAAATGAATATCTATGAACTAATTTCCACAAAGTTCACTCTAAAAATTGTGTAGTGAAAACTGTTTCTAAAATCATATTTGAGTGTTGGGTGTTTAATTTTTTCTTTTATTACAAGTAATGTATAATTTCACAAATCTTTTAAGTTGCTGAATCATATTAATCAAAGAAGTTTTTAACATGCTTTGAATACAGGTAAGAACTGAATATATAATTGCTTATATAACATTCCTGTTTTATAAAAAAAGTTAGTTGTCATTTATCAACAATTATTGTAAATTTTGAAATATCTAGTTACTAGTTAGTAATCAAAAACTTTGCATTTCTTTGGATTGTATTATTTATCGTCAAATTAAAAATTTAAACTGTATATTTTTCATTAGTGTTAATTCCCACGTCCCGAATTTTTCAGTACAAGTATTTAAAAGTGATAAGAATTTACTTACAATAAGAATAAGGCTATTAAATATATCAAATTGTTAGTTACTTAATAGTGGATTAATATGGAATATTAATTTGAAATCATTTTTTGGACTTTTTATTTACCCACTACAAACTATTTTTCCCTCATTAATTTGAGGTAGTTTGTAGTGGGTAAATAAAATATCCAAAAAATGATTTCAAATTAATATTGAAAAATAAGGCAATGAAACAGGACTGTTTGGGAACGTCACTGTAGAAAAAGGAAAGGGGAGGTGGCTTGGGTCGTTAATCACGGGAAATTAGTATGGATACTTGAACGGGTAACAACGCGCATTTGTCGTCAAGGGATATTACCAAAATGGGGAAAGTTTCGTCTGTGCGAGATAAGTGTTAACGTTTTGTGAACAAATATCAGAACTCGTCCATGAAAACGATAATCTTTAAATGAGTGATGAAGCTCATTTTCAATTTATCAATAAATAAAATTTTCGTTATTGATCGGACAGTAATCCACAGGAATTACATTCAGAGAAAGTAACCGTGTGATACGCAGTTTCTTTTACTAGCGATAATCGACCCTTATTTCTCAACTTTGTGACGAGGCTATTTTAAAAAATAAACGTTTGTGCGTTTACAGAAAATATTCAATCGTGTAATTTAAAATGTTTAAATCAATAAATTTTACTAATTATGTTTTTTTTTAATGAAAATAAAACCAAACATTTATTTCTTATTAAAAAAAAAAACAATATAAACGAATATACTTATAAAAACAAAAAAAAGTCAGTCACATCATTCAGTCTATTCTGTTTCCAATTTTCTGCCTTTTTGTCAAGAAAGCATTTAATGTAGTTTGCGTTTTCCTTTTGCGTTCTGTTAGAAGTTGTTGATATGTGGATAAAACATCTATAACACCCCATCTTGCTTTTGAACTCAAAATTTGGATCATTGTCAACCAATTGGTCCATAAAACCTATCGCTGCGCACAATTTCGGGGAATCCCCGGGTTGAAATAAAAGAGCGCTAAACCGAAACAGCGTTAAGCTGTGTCTTACTGTATAGTTTATAAATTTCGGTAATGGTGAAGCAAATCAAACACCTAACGAAGGCATACAAGTTCCAAACATTTTTTTTTGAAATTTCAACTTGTAATTGTAAATGCTTATATAACCACAGCCTAACGTAACCTAGCTCAATCTCAGCATAAGCTGCGGCTATTTCATGAAAGGACAAAAGTACCTATTACAGTATCCATTTGGTTTGTGCTATTTTTACCTACTGGAACGTTATGGCCACAAACAAACGAAAGAAAGGATTAAATTCAATTAGGTTAAGATCATAACTTATGGTGTAGGTAAAGACAGCACGAACGAAGTGAGTGTTGTCGTAGTCGTGTCCTTTTTTTGTTTAAATGAATGAACGAAACCTAACGTATCCCAATTTCATTCTAATAATCGTCACAACACTGATGAGTAAAATTATTATTCGGGCTGAAAGGCCGTGGTCTAGATCTCTGGATGAATCATAATTCTACGATATCATTGATTCCGGCCGTGAAAGCCTATGTTCTTATACTGATGAATTAGGGTTGCCATCCATCCTTCCGGGATTCCCCGAATTTGTCTTAGTTTGAAGGGCGTTCGGGGGCTGTCCGGCAGGGGTTTTTAAAACGCGTGGACGTGGACACTTTTGTTGCCAAGGGAAATCCAATTTTTTTATAGATATTATAGATAGGCTCAGAAAGAGAAAAAAACATAATTCGCCCAAATGTCCGGGATTTTTTTCCGTGTTTATCTGGCGTCGACAATTTAGGTGATTTAGACAGCCCTATGATGAGTACAAGTAGAAATTTCAAAGAAAGATAATTAGTGGCCCTTCTATGCCTTCGTAAATACCCCTCTGATGTTTTGTGAAATGTTAGTATCTTCTAGGTACTATTCCTCATGTTGATCAAAAATATATAGACATTGTACACGGTAGGTGTATGTATACAGGGTGTCTCACGGTGACCACCCATTAGAATATTTCGGAAACTACTTCCATTCGAATTCATTATTTTAAATGAAACACCCTGTATATTATGACGGTTGAATTCTACTTATGATTTTAGGTAGACTTTTATAATGCTTTTTTATTTCTAAATTGTACTGTTTTCGAGATATTAATTTTTTTTAAAAGTATTACAGAGCAGTAGGTTGCGAAAAAGCATGCATATTTTACAGTAAGAAAGCTGGAGCAACAATATTCTCAGGAAAGGTAGCTATATCCCTAAGCTTCTCGTTCATACTTTCAAAGTGGGTTAATTATGTACATGATGTTAGATATTTAGTGGCGGATTTGGTTAACTTCAAATAATCGTAAGTCAGTTTTTTCCAACGGAACACCATGTATATATTTTCATAGCCTTATACAGAATTTTACTGTTTTCGGAGTGGTACTATGGTTCCCTATACCCATATCCTCTGGTTTTTAAATTACTTACTGTTCTTTGTAAATTCAACTAAAGCTGTTTATTTTTTACGAAGAGACTATGAAATTTCTGGCAGAACTTCAAAGCAAATAATATGAGTAAATTATTGCCACTCAAACACGCATACTGACAGTTTAGTCAATAAATATTTTGATTATCAACTTCAATTATTCAATATTATTTTTATGAAGAATGGAAAATGAAAATACCTATTCAAATTGAGATGAATTTTAAGAAAT